TTTGCCAGATAAAATAATTGTCATTTATGTTTCATTAATAAACACTTGGTCATCTGTTGTTTTGTGCATTCATAAGTAACCTGCATGTTTCTCATATGCACCTAGTGAGGTCATTGAACTATCTGTGTCTAGCATGAGCATAAATTGTAACGTAGATATGACTGTCAAATGCAGAGTAAGCAGTAAAACTTGTTTGTGAGCCACCAGGACTAAACGCCATGTTTCCATGGTATCAAATATAACTCAGGTTAATTTTAGAAAAAATCTGCCTGGTATGCAGATTCAAGCCCCAGACCACCAGCGTTTCTGGCATCAAGCCATTATACTAAGGAATCTCTCAATAGAAAAATCAAGCAATTAATTACATTTTCATGATGTCATGTCGTGGCTTTAAATCATTGTAAATTTTTAGCTTCAGAACTTCAAGTCACTATAAATTAAGAGTATGTTAAATCACTATGCAAACTAATTTCTTGACATCTTTTATAAATTAGTGTTCAAATAAGTAAAGTAGCAAAAACTATTGCTTTATTGTACTGCCCACACAAAAAAGAAAGGAAATTCACTTGCTAATGTAATGATTATGTATATGAACTGGACAAATTAACAACTGAAACTAAACTTAACAACAAATATCCATCTTCTTCATCGTCAAGTAATGGAGATCGCATTTAAGAAAAATATAATTGAAAGATGGCTGGTAAGTGAACACTAAATAGGAATACAGCAGATTTTTAACTTGGTATATTGTTTCACTGTTTTTTTTTTTTTTTTCATATTTTAAATGTGCATTTTCTTTTCTGTACATGCATATTTTTGGAAGATGTAATCACCATTCTCATATAGGAAAGAAAATAACAAAAGCAATTACATGGCATTCGGTTATGGGTATTAAAGTATTCAGCTCTAACTTTTAATAGACCATAACAAAATGGCATGAGGTGATCAGTTCTCTTCCTCACTGTCTTGTTCTCAGATAAGTAAAATGTAAAGGATCCTTTTCAGGCCGTAAGTGTAATTTACATATTGTGCTAGACTCATGTATTTTAAAGACCAATCAGCACTTGATAGATGACGTGATCAGTAAGATGCCAGCCACCTTTACTTCCCAGGAAATTTCTGGTATTCATTTTAGGCTGAACAAAGAATTATCAGGTACCCAGTGTTATGATATTACAATTTTGGAACCCTTATATGTTGATGGTAAATATCAGAGAGTAAACACAAGCATATACTTACAACAAGAAGCAGCCACAAGAATGGACAACCATGCAGAAGCTTTTCAGAACATTGAGCAAGGCCTTAGGTTGGATGTGTACAATAAGCCAGTTTGTACAGTGAAATAATAATGAAACCCATCATAGTATGCCAGGAATATTGGTGGATGGAAATGTTGCTAACAACCTGCGATGTGATAACAATATAGTTTTGATCGCTGAAAATTAAACACAACTGCCAGAAGTGATGAACATGATTGTTACAGAAAATCAAAACAAGGGTCCTAATTTGAATAGAATAAAAACATTAAAAAATTGTAATTACAAAGAAAATTGACCCTTTAAAATGCAACATCAAAGTAAATTGGACAGCCCTCAACCAAATTGGTACCCTGATAACAGCAGGTGGAAGATGTATTAATAAAAAAAAAATTAAATTAAATGAAGAATAGCTCAAGCAAAGGCAGCATTTCACAAAATGAAGGCTGTTCTGTAAAATCTTTCTTTGTCAGTTGAGATGAGCAAGAGAATTCTCAGGTTTATAAATCCTATCCTGATATATGGAAGTGAATCATGGATAGTTGACCAGTCAGTGAAGAATTATATAGAAGTGGCAGAGGTGTGGTTTTGTAGAAGAATCATGAGAACACATGAGTAGTGAAGATGTTCTGATAGAAATGGACTCAAGAAGGGAACTAGTTGGCCACATCAGAAGGAGTCAAATGGTATTCTTTGATTATGTCATGAGAAGAAGAAAACTGGAGTATATCATAACCGGGGAAAGTTTTAGAGGAAAAGAGGCAAAAAGAGACCAGGAGAAAAGATGGTGAACAGTTTGACTACCTGTGTCAAAATTGATTGAAAGTACACATGATGAAATGTTGACTACCAGTACCACATTTCTTGGACAATAAGAAGAAGAATTGTATGACACTTGGTCAACCTTTCAGTCCCACTGATCAGGAAAACATTTTGCCTCTTAACCATTGCATTTTTAAGAGCTGACACGCTTACCACTATGATGCTGCAGCTGTTTATTGATATATTTTGACATGTGAAAATTATTCTATGTGTACTTTCATGAATATCTCTGATATGCTGTTTTAATATTGCTGGGTCTGTGCAACAGGTTGCCTGCGGTTTTCATACATGCATGTATAGTTTAGATCTGTGATTCCCAAACTGCACAGCAGCACCCCGGGGAGCCGCGACCTCTTCACAGGGCGCCGTGAAATATTGTAAAAGCTTCATAATTAATTTAACTAAGACACCAAAAGTCATACTTTTACTTAGGTTAGGGCGTCATGGAAAAATTGTAATTGAAAAAAGGCACTGCGACCAAGAAAAATTTGTTAAACACTGGTTTAGATATCACATTGTCAAATAGCATGGTGTGGGAGTTGTACCCACTCATTTCTCACAACCACGCATAGTATTGTTGAGAGGCATGAACTGAAAATAGCTGAACGTAAACTGTGACTAGCTGATCTTGATAAACAAAAAGTGTAAAGAGAATCCAATGTTTCATGTAGTGTTTGTTGACAAACAAAAATGGGAAACAAATACTTCACTGACAACAGCAATATTGAGCCCACCTGTCTGAGGTATTAAGAGGATAAAGAAACTGAAGCATTCGTTTGACTTTGTAAGATAACCAAATCCCTCTTGTTATGTTTGCTCTTTTGGTTCAGTCAGCTGTTAATTGAAAAGAAGTGTTGTCCCAGGGCTGAATGCTTCCTAGTACAACAGGCTGCATGTACAATTCACGAATTAATAGTAATGTAAATTATTTTGTTTTATATGCATTACTGTATATGCATTGTCTTTTTGTGCTTAGATGGTTAGGACACACATGGAAGATTGTAGTCCATAAGAGCGACCTCTGTGATAAATTACAGATGTGTAGAAGATGTTGGCATTGGTCTCTACTAATATTAAAAGATGTGCGGAAAATTACTAAGTCTACGGACACTACCCTACAACCTAGACAACCAATGTCCAATGCAGGGTAACTGTGCATTGGATACCATCCTACTGTTGAGTTCCCCTAAATGATAAACTAGCTAAGGAAGGTGCAAATGAAGAATAACCTGATATACCCGTCTCTTATCAACAACAGAAGAAAATAATCATGTCAGTCAGAAAGCTACCAAAACTGGCGCAAGATGATTACCATAATAGCAACAGACCAGAGCAAGTTATTATTCTATGCCTTAGAACTGGGCAGCTACATGTGCACACAATTTAAAGATTAGCGAATCAGCAAATGTCTGCAAGTGAGACATGAAGGATACAGGCATTGAAGTGGATTCTTGGGAACAGGATACCATGGATGATGAAATCAGGAAGGGAATAGGGACAAAGCACAAACAAATTGCAGACATGTTAAGAGCTGAGTGGTTGAGAAGAAACATGGCAGATGCATGGGATGACAAAAGTGGTCCTGAAATCTCATGCACTTATTATGCAAGATTCTATTAACCCTGGGTGCTCTTGTTAGTCACACTCGCCATCTTTATACCACATCCCAACACTGTAAAGGAGAAGCTCTAAAATTCTTTCTAATAAATGGATTTTAAAAAATGTCACAAAAGTAAAGGCAGTTGGCATGATATTGAGCACATCAAGAGATTTTAGAGTAAAATAAAAAAAAATATTGAAAGGCCCCTTTACCCAGCACTAATGTGTCAGGCAAATGGTGCTGGGCACATTTGTTGTTGACCAGTCAGCATTCAGTGGGTGATGTATTCCTCATCATGTCAACAAGTGATGTTTATTCTTTAAAAATCTGGAACAAGAACTTGGTTTGGGCACGTGGTGAGACATGATCTGATTGCAGAGACTGTACTTCAAGGAACATTGGGAGGTAGTCGAGGAGGAGGACAAAGAAGAACTGGATTGATGTCATCAAGAAATGGACAGGAGTAAGTTTTGATGCACTTATTAATCAAGCCTAAGACAGAAAGTTGGCGGGTTTCTTGTGCTAGTCTTAAATCGATACACCTCCACGGCCTGACCCTAACGGGTCAAGGGTTATGTTATGTTAAGGAATGAATGAATCAAGGATTAACATCACTGCAGTTGGGGCATTCCCATACCTGCTCTATTCCTTTCCTCAGTAGCAAAAAAAAAGAGTTCCTATACTGATGGGGTCAGTTGCAACCTGATTTAAAGATAACCTGTGATTTCCTCTGCACATTGAAAGCCAGCTAGACCTCTGCTGACTTCCCACTGACCTTAAGAGAATGTTCGCCACATTCACTTGATCATAATCATAGCCGGCATCTGTGGCTTAGGCATTGCGAACACACTTCGTAATGTCAGGGTGGTGGGTTTGGTACCAGCTGCTTTTTTTTGCATTAGTTTCTGTGGTGGTATCGAGCAGCCAACCATCCAGAAAACAATGGCAAACTACTGGACGTAAATTTGCCTAGAAAAACCACAACAGCCAAAAAACGCTGGGGTTTGTTCTGCAACGTCCTGTAAAGGATACGCAACTAACTTTTTAAATTATTTTTTTTAAAGTGTATCATAAAATTTTTCACAGCCTAGGAAAGCAGCAGCAGCCAGTCTGTCAGCCTGCTCATTTACCCGCACAATGTGGAAAAACAGATTCTTGACTTTTTTGCTTACATGTTCCAATGTGCCTTATGGAGATTGACTTAAGATCCCTATAATTTTTGGTCATTTATTTCATTGTAGGAGAGGAGGAAGCAAGGAAAGAAGCATTTTGCAGATCTGAAAGTCAAACCACGGACAGAGCCAAACTCTGAGCCTGTCAAAATGGACATGCTCAATCGTCTGAAAAGTGCTGTCACCAGTGTCATACCTGGCAATCCCTTGTCTCGAGATTTTGATATACAAGGTCAGGTGGCCAGTACTGGACCAGGCTTGCTTTGGAAAGTGTTTACAGCTGTGAAAAAAAGCACTAAAGAGGTCAGATATGTTCTGTTTATATGTATGTCCAGTTAGTACACACTCTCCTCGACTTAGAGTTCTGTTCTGACTAACAGGGTCATGAGTCAGATTGGTTGTATATTTTTTCAACATTATTTCATTCAAACAGGATATAATAATATAGAAATATTTTCCTTTCTTTTAAAACAGCCAGAATAAATTCATGCTTCTTTATGAATGGTGCAGTGAGTTACTCAAAGGATTTTCTCACTTGTTCAACTATTGTTCATCTGTGAGAGCTATGTGTGAAAGTATGTTCTAATAACATGCAAGATACAGTGTATAGTACATGAAATAAAAAAAATATTGACAAGTTAACTGTTTATACCAATTCAGAAGTAGAGCTTTAACATCATTATGTTCAATTTCCACTTCTGCCATTAAGAATTATAGGGAGGAGCAGTTTGAAATCCATTGCTTGATTTGCAGCATTGGCTATTTTTTTTTCATTCTGTGTCGATGTAGAAGTTCTTTAATGTCATCAGTCCAGGTTCTTCTATGGCCTATTGATTTCACTGGAGATCTTTTTTCATGTGTAGTGCCTGCGTTAGTAGTTGCTCTGGCTGCTTTCTTACTAAATAACCAAACCATTTGATCTTCTGTTGCTCATTGTAATTGCTGCATGGTGTTTTTCCTACAGTCTGTCTGATAATATCATATCTAACTGTCTCGGTTGGTTAATTTGGCGGCTTTTCTCAGGCATCTCATTTCACATTAGTTAATTTTACGTAGGTTAGTTTTTGATAATGTCCATGTCTGGCACTGGTAGTAGTGTTGGTAGAAATGTGCTGTTTATAATCTGTTTCTTGGTGCTCATATATATTTTTGGATGTTATAAAAACACTGTCGGTTGGTGTATAAGTGCACTGGCTCATTGGCGTCTTGTTTCTATTTTCTGATCTAATCTTCCATCCTCTGAGAATATACTTCCTCTATATATTTAAATTCTGTAACTTGTTTGAGACAAGTACCGTTCAACCTGTCATGTGGCAGGCTAGGAATTCTGCTGACTTGCATTACTTCAGTTTTAATAGTATTTATTTTCATATCTTCTGCATGTTGAACTTTGTTCAGATTTTCTTGCAGTCTACTCACTTCATTGTAGAACAGGCACTGATTGTCTGCACATAGTAGCTCATTTATTGTGTGTGGATCTAATCCCTCCTCATCTTCTGGATTGTCCGGGTCAGCTGCTTTAGATATTCTGTGTATGTATATAGTAAATGAGAGAGGAGAGAGCACACATCCCAGCCTCACCCCTGTATTGATTTTAAACATATCAGATATGCCTTTTTGTGTTCTCGCTTCACTTTGGAAATGTGGTACATGGCCACAGTGTTATCTAGCAATCGTCCTTGTATCACATAATCCTCAAGAATAGCCCATAGAGCAGTAATGACCAGCTAAAATAAATGGAGATTCTTCTCCTAGAAGACTATGAATTATTATGGTGAGAGCCATTAGTAATATGGCCTGCCAAACTGTCTTATTCATGTCACTTGAATCTTCATAATTGATGTATCGATACAATACCAGTTTAACAATACTGCTCAGAGAAAAATGCTCCTCACTATAAATGAGTGGCCCTAATGCTTTCTGAGAAGGCTAAGGCAGCACTAATAAAGTTCAGAACTGTGTATGTAATACCAGAGATAGCATAGTGGGTAAGAAAATGAAAAATAAGATTTATATTTTGGGATTAGTAAAGGAATATGAAATTGAGCAGGAGAAAAGATGCTAAAAGAGATGAAGCGACACTCTTCAGGGTCTGCTTCTCTCTAAGAAGGCAGGCAGCACTGATAAAATTTCAGATCAGTGATTTATAGTTATGAGAATAATATTTAAAATGACAGAAAAGTAGGTAAACATGATATGATGCAGCATTCTGTACCAACAGATGGTAAGGATAATTCTGTTGAAGCAATATTTTAGGTAGTTAGGTAGTTGTACCCCACCAGGACATCACTCAAGCGATAAACACCCAGTGGCATAAAGTGCCACCATACGGATGAGGATCACCCATGGAAAGGTCTCAGAAACCCCTTTCAGCAATGAGGCCATAAATGGATAGCCCGGCTATATTCAGGGCCCCTGGCAAAAGCCAGGTGCAAAAATTTGAATCCCACATGGAGACGACTGTTAAGAGTTGAAGCAGCATTTGACATAATACATTTGAGTACTGTATATGAGTAATCAAAGAAATGTTAGTATCACAATTTTGATCAGTGACCTGAATGCCAAGGTAAGATTGGATAGCATGGGTTATGAAGAAAAGTGATGAATTATTTATGTCATGGGTGGAAGGGTCTTTCCACACAATACACACTTAGAGCAGGTTGGAAATCAGTATGCTACAACACAATAAATACATTCAGCCATTTATATTTTGTGTTGGATTTTTTATCATGGTATGGAGCATGGCATGTCAACACAGTCTAAAATGGGTACCAGGATGGCTGTCCTGGGGAAGTAAAGACGGCTGGCGTAATGCTGACCAAATTACCCACACGAACTGGGCTAGTAGAGAATGAGGAATCCCTGACACTAACACAATTGTGTGACATGGGAGTTAAGCATGGTGATGCACGTCTTTGCCATCTTCGAGGCCGAGAAAGGAGACAATATAACCAGCTTCTTATGGGGACAATTAGTAGAAGTACTTTGGAGTGGCTGCTGCTTCGGAGAACTGAGCATGCATGGGTATGCCCAATGTGCAGTGACATCAATTGTGATAGCAAAACATAAAATAACATCTTAGTAGAGAGTTGGCAGTCCGAAACCCAAGTTCAAGGTGTCTCCTTCGTGCCAAAGAACTGCATGGCATGGTGAACGGTCGTTAACGATGACAAGCAGGTTGTTGTAGGGGCGACGCCTGCTGGTGGATGTAATGTCCTAAGTCCCTTCACCAGCTAATAATGAGGGTACTGCTGGGGTGACCGTTTATTAACCCTCATATAATGCTTCCGGTCAAAATGGACGCTAGGCACGGCCACCTTTGTTTTGTTTTTTAAGCCGTGGCTGCCAGACGGTGGCTGTTGCATTTTTGCTCCATTTGTAGACTGGAAGGATGTAGTTTCGTTGCCCAGCTTCTGAGTTGAGTGCATGGCGTGACAGTGTGAGCTGCGTTTGTTTTTCGTTGGCACAGGAGCGGAGCAACTGTGGGGTGACCCGTTTGCTATGAAGCTGAAACTAGGATTACCAAACTACCAGATTACATTACCCACCTAGTGCCGATTAGTCTGTAAAAATATGGGATGCTCTTCTCAAATGCCCCATGTGCCTGAAGCGTGAAAAGAGATCTTTACTTTTTTTTTACTTACTTATTTCTGTTTTGACAAAAAATTTATATCAAAGTTCTTCGCATGACATATAATATTATGGAGATAGTAATGTATATTCAGATCATGCAGTGTACCTTTGTATCAGAATTGTGGGCATCCAATGTTTATTCAGATATATTGGAGGGCAAGAGAGCCAGAGGAAGACAGAGAGAGAAAATGTTGTACAATATGACATACTATCTTGGAATAAGGGTTGTAACAGTAATGATTGCTAGTACATGAGACAAGGTTGTGTGCAGACATCATTTCCAGTGCCACATTGCATGTGTAAGAAGAAGATATCTGTGACACTAAGATGATTGCATGACCTAGGAGCAAAGCATGGCGTGGCACATCTATGTCACCTTAGCGGCCGAGATGAAAGACAGCTCCTCGTGGGAACAATCAGTAGAGGTACCTTGGAATGGCTGCTGCATCGGAGGACTGATCATGCATGGGAATTCCCATTGTACAGTAACATCAATTGTGATAACATAATGTAAGACGAAAATATGTTTTCCAGCTACCAGTAGAAAATATTCTTTGGAATACAGCCCATTTGCCACCCATGACATGTAATTATTTATGTCTAATTCACAAATTATTTTCCACAGGAAGCTTCAGTATTCTACTTTGACAAGAAGAGCATAGAGAAGCACAGTAAGAAAGACAGAGAAGTTATTATTGAAACCCTCAAACGGGGTGTGCAACAATTGACCAGATTAAGGCATCCAAAGATTCTCTCCGTCATTCATCCTTTGGAAGAAACCCGGTAACTTTATTTAGCATAATGGATAGATGTTTGTCTGTCGGCCCGAAATGTCAAAGGTTCTAATCAGCATTGGCATAATTTTTTGAAAATTTACTTTGTCTTGCATGTTGACCCAGTTTAAAATGGATACCAGGTAATGTCCTTGGAAATAAAGGCAGCCGTTGTGATGTTCACCAGAAATTCTCAACTTCAACTGCCGATTGATCTAAAAAAAGTTAGGGTTGGCCCTGTATGCCCAGTGCTCACCATTTTACTTTTACCTCAGTAAAACAAAGGTTCTTTCAACCAACTTGTTCCAGGTCATTTTATCCAATACCAGTGTGTTTAGCTCACCCCACATTCTCCCCATCTTTTTCACCCTGTTCTCTAATTCTCTCTTTCTTCTTTTTCCTCTTCTTTATCTTTATTTTCTGCCTTAACTTATTTTGGCCTTTTAGATTCCAGTGTGAGGTCGTAATGGCCATACTATTGCTTTTAACGCTCAGAGCTTTGGAATGTGCAAATTTCTGTGAAGGCACAAGGGGAGACATGGAGACTAGTGATGAGCACCTGGAAAATGTGCAGTTTTTTTCCTGTGACTAAGCCGTGCATCTTTGGCGAGCTGGTCCCAGAATGACTATGATAATCAGATGAATAGTATTTAATTATAAGGAGCCAAACTGGAACACCTTGCGACAGCTGGACAGATTTATGGATAGAGAGTTTGAGAAAGAAAACGAGAAAATTCTTGGCTTTCTTCATGGCATTAAATTATGTTGGTAAATCAGCTCCCCTGTATGGGTTCCGGGGACCTATTATAGGGAAAACAAGAATAGACCCACTGCCTAACCAAAAGCATGTCAAAAGAGTCGATTAATTGGGAGCTTTCTTCGAAGTCGAAGTGCATCTGCGTGAGAGGCAAGGAACCAGCAGTCTGAACAAAAATAAATCAGATCTGTAAAACGGATTTACACGCAACACTCAGATTCTGGAACAGGACTGCAGTCCAAAAGTTGATGAACAATCAGAACTTTTCACCAGAGTTTACAGTTGGTGAACTCGAAGAAGAAGAAGAAGGTACATCGGCTTAATATATACTAATGGAGAAAAATGAATGAAAAAACCTTTTTTTCTAAGGATTGCAAAGGTTTGCATTAGGCTCTTCCAAACACTTGTCTTGTCTTTTGCACAACAATTATATTTTATCTGTAACTCTTTCAGTCTCAGGGGGTTTATCATCAGAGGCCCAAGGGCTACCCTTTGTAATGTGATACGTAAAATCGGTGCATCTTGCATTCATTGGCCTTCTAAGTAGGAACCTATGATTGTATCATGCATTCCTTGGGACCGAAAGAGTTATTGCATGTTTTATTCATGAAGCATTACCACCCTCATCATTCTTCATGTGCCGTTAGACATCACCCTGGACTCACATTCGATTCCTCCAGTCCGCTCTATTGCATGCAACTCTCCCTTGGGCGTCCTCTTTTTCTCAGACTATTTATTTTCATTTTAATGCTTGTTTTTTATCCTTTGCTCATTTTCTCTCAGTGTGTCCAATATGTCTCCATATTCTTTGTCTTATTACGGTCGATACCGGTATCTATCCAGACATTTCCCTGATTTCCTCACTTTTTGGAGAATAAAATAATGTTCATGATTTTTCCCTGACATTTATTTTCAAATGCATTTTACATGTTAAGAAAAACTACAAAAGCATGGTTGGCAAATGCTTGCATTCAAATATACAACAGGCACACACTCAGACTAGCATGCAGACATACACACAAACACTTTAGCACATATAAGTTGATATTGATAGACAAACAGACACATGCAAGAGAGAGACACCAAATTCCCACATGTCATTATACAGGAAACCTGATAATGATAATCACATGATTACATAAACTACGTGAATCTATGATAAGTTTAACCTCATAACGATTTAGATCAGACTGGTGTATAGGAGGGAAGCCACATAAAGTCTTATTTTGTCATTAAAATCTGAATAATTGAGCATCTAATAATCACCATGTTACTGCTGCTCTCTTCCTGACTTTAGTTGGATTTGTTTCCCACCATTATGGCTTTGGGGCTGACCCAACCTTAAAAAGGGCTACCAGGTAAAGTCATGGGAAGTAAAGGTGGGTGGCATGTTGCTGAACCCATTACACAGTGAGTGCCACTTGGTTTATAAAATGGTTGACCCAGCCTTAACAAATGGGTGCCATATATTTCTAGAATGTTCTAGGAAGGAATAGAATGGTGAGGAAGAAGAGACATTTTAACCCCTGCATCATAGCTTAGAATTTATGAACGTCCTCCTCGAGACAGGAAAAGGGTCCTTTGGAAGAAGTGAACAGTGCAGAGGCACAAACAGATTATCATCACTGTCTAAGCCAAATGGTACAGCAGGGAGTGACCAGGAGATCTGGCTGATGCTCAACATTCAAGGGACCATTGCGATGGATATTTAGTTAGACTGTTACTGGTGCCATCAGAATTGGAACTCTGCGCTTGCTGCTGAAGATGGGTACAGAGCACTGCTTCTCTTCCATGTCTAGTTAGATTTTTTCTGTAGCGACAACCGCTGTCGTTCATAATGGGTAATTTGGTTTCATTTCCCCTGATCGGATATGCCTGCCACTGCTCAAACTGATTAGAGAGATTAGACTTAGACAGTCTGGTTTTTTGTGTGTGTGTGTGTTAGTTAGAAGTTGTCATGGTGTAGCGGCTAGACTCTCACCTGCAGATCGGGAATTCGTGGGTTCGGGACATGCCGCAGCCTGAATTTAAAAAAAAAAAGACATTGGCTCTCAGGTCCACAGCCTTGAGCGGGTACCAGATGCAGATCTGGGAAGTAGAGGTGGTCAGTTTGATGCTGACCAAATCATCCAGCAAGTGCTGATCGGTTTATAAAATCTAGGTCTAGCCCTATGTGCCCAGTACACCTAAAGGCATGGAAAATGATCCTTTACTTTACTTTTACATATTATAAGAAGGAATCGACTTTAGAACCTGGTGACCACTGACAAGATTATTGGGAAATTAGCAGGCGGAAGACAAAGAGATGGCTTAGCCATATGAATGTACTGAGTTAGACAAGAACAATGACCTGATTCGTGATTCTAGTGATCAAACGAGATAGTAAATCATGACAACCTTTGATTATCTGCATGGTACATGATGATGATGAAGAACACTTTACACACAAGTGACAGTATTTACTATGGGACTCTCTTTACTAGAATTGGTTTGGTTACTCATAGTTAATGTGACAAAACCTGTCCAGTAACAGTTCTTTATATTTTTCTTCATAGTGAAGCACTGGCATTTGCCACAGAACCAGTGTTTGCCAGTTTGGCTAATGTCCTGGGTGCCTGTGACAACATAGGTGGACCTTCCAAGTTTCTGTCTGACTTTCAGTTGTATGAAGTGGAGATTAAACACGGATTGCTTCAGGTTTGTAAATATACTTATGTGTCTTATTTGTATGTTAGCTGGTAACTGCCTCAGCGTTATGGTAGAGTTACCCCATAATTGCTCTTCTCCTGTAGCAGCTAAAAACAACACAAAATGCCTATGTCTCATGCGAAAAGTTAAACAAACAGCTTCTTCTGTTTCTTCTTATCTAGTCCTGTTCTGCTTTTCAGTGTCAGATTTTGAAGAGGCATCAGGTGCGAGCCTTGATATTTTATACGTAGATATCAGTATTTATGGCCTTGGATATGCTGTCTATTCATCCCGTGCGTGGTCAACCTCTGGTTCTGCTTCCATAATGTCTGAGTGAAAGGGCTCTTTGTGATGCACTATATGGCTGTAATCTTGACACATCCAAACTATTTGATCTGTTTGTTTTTTTAGTGTAGTTTAACACTGATTCTGTCACAACTCCCTTCCTGATATATCATCATTTCAGATCCTGTATTCCAGTTAAATTTAAGATTCATCCTTGACATTTCAGGTCTGTTGTTTCTATTTTTCTGTTTCCCTTTGTTGTTAATATCCACATATGGCACCGGTTGCAGTGTTGCTAATTAAATAGTGTATTGAATAGTGCTCAGACGGCATTTCTGACAAAAGTAAGCTCCCCCACATGCAAGCACTAGAGGGGCCAATACCAACAGTCTGCCTCTAGAATTACAGTTTATTGTGGACAGAAGCAGCAAACTGGACAAAGCAGCGGTAACAGTTTTGGTGTCTAAAGGTCTTAAAGTAACCACTCTGAGCAGTAACTGTTATGTTTTTATGTAATCGTAAAAATCATTGCTGTTTCTAATTTGGGGCGTGTAAATTTGTAATCTCATTAGTAGTGAACTTAGACAAAAATTAAATCCAGTTGTCGCATGACAGCTGATCGGTCATGCCTGCCACATGCAGAACCACTCAAGGCATGGAATGAAAGTTAACTAATTTCAAAAACAAATGCCTAAAGACATTGATTAACAATAAATTGGATGAATTCAAGAAAGACAAAGAAATAAAAGAACTGTCTGGACAACCATTTGTATCAACAGTTATATAAGAAACATAAGATGGCACTATATTGGGAACATCATGAGGAGAAACAAACATAAAATCAGAAATGGGAAATCAAATGTATTAAGGAAACAAATGGATTGAGGAAATGAGGACTTTCAAGAGAAAGCCTGTGAGGAGGGTTGTTGAAAGAAGCCAGGGGTGCCGCTCTTGCTTTGCTTTGAGGGCCGACTAGTCTGCGTACCGTTTCCCTGAATGGGTTCTCCAAGGGCCGCACCTGTAGATAAAAGGACAAAGAGGAACCCACACAAGGCTCACAGAACCAGTTAGGAAGGCTAACCTAGTGAACAAATCCCTGATAAAGTCAGATGTGTCGGCCGAAAGGTTCAAATATCGCAGCTATGCTGTAAACAGGCACAACGCAATTATGCCACTCAGACGAGCAGTGAAGAAGAAGAAGAAGATTGTTTAGTTTAATTTTTTTAATGTGTACTTTTTAAATAAATTGGAGAATAATATTTTGTAAGTGTTTAAATAATTTGGTAACCATATGGTGCAATCTGTCACTGGAAATATTTAAAGTGATTTTAAATACTGTTATTCTGGTTACATTTACAAGAACACAGTGAGAACAAGAATGGATATTACTGCTATAAAATCTCATTAGCACACTAAAACAAATACAGATAAAATACAGTAGACTCATTGTATTTTACAGCTTTATATGTTTTGTAATGTATATTGTTATGTGATGTTGACAGGTTTTAGAAGGTCTGGGATTCCTTCACAACGATGCCAAGATGATACATCGCAACATATGTCCTACGTCTATCATCCTGGCCAAGTCTGGCACATGGAAGCTGGCAGGTTGTGAGTTTGTGCAGCAGGTTGTAGAATCCCAGGATCAGAAGGTTGGTCGGAACCATTGTCCTTTCCCAGATAAATTGATCATCATCATAATAATAATACTGCTGTTATACACCACATTATATCCAACACTGGGAAGAGGGAGGTCATGGATGGCTCAGTGGTGTGTATGCGATACATTCTTGGTTTGCTGACAATTACAGATAGGCACAAGGTGCTGCAGGTGAAGTCATATCTCAGGGTAGCTGCAGACACAGACCACCCTTTGCATGAAGCTCTGGGTGCAGTTAAGGGTCAGCGGCTCATAAGAGGGAGGTCATGGATGGCTCAGGCAGAAGACACAATCAGACAGGTTTGCATCCTTGAGAACATTAGGTGAGGAGAGGAGCGGGTCAAAGTGCCACCTGAACAGTTAGACTTGTGTAAAGTCATAATCACGCTGAGCCGAGAATGCAGAGACTGGCCAGCAGGTGCAACGGAGGTGGACATTCAGCAATTAATTCAAGATAATGCTCGTTCAGAGGATTTGATCATTTACACAGACGGTACAGTGTCAAGAGGCAAAAGAAGTGCTTGGGGCTTCTTAGCAAAAGTTGATGGTCAATGTTTGGTGCAGAAGAGCCTAGCATATGATACCACAATATCCAGCTTAAGAATGGAGGTGGAGGCGGTCACTGCAGCTTTCCGCTGGCTAGAGAACATGACACACACACACACACATCGTGATTGTAAGTGACTCAGAAAGCATGCTGAGGAAGATCAGAACAGGTATGCTTCGTGCAGATTGGCATGCTTCACTGCAGAGGACACGGGTGAGGAGTAATGTCTGGATTTTTTCACCGGGTAACGCCGGTGTGTTGGGAAATGAACAGGCGGACAGACTGGCTGGCTTTGCACAACCTGGTGGAATACTGATACATGATAAGGCAGACGTGGTTAGTGCCTTGTGGGAGAGCGTGTACAGTTGGGAGGAGCAGATGGATCACCACAGTCTGGTGAGACTGATGCAGGGGGGAGTGACGAGAGGTTCTGGCAGATGCTCGAGGCTTAAAGGAAAGGCAAGACGGGCATTTAATCAGAATGCTACTGGCACCATTAGTATCTGAACTCTTCGCTGGCTGCTGAAGATGGAGATGGAGCGCTTATGGGAATGCTCCGAGTGCTGTGATGTCGGTTCATGAATCAAATCAATCCACACTGGGAAGGTCATCACAGGTAGTGAGCATACTTTGGATCTTTTCTCCAGGCTATGCCTGTGTAGTGGGTACTGAACAGGCAGACATATTGGCCGGATCTGCACCATTGGGTGGTGAATTGATACATGACAAGGCAGATGTGGTCAAGGCCCTTTGGGAACAAGCAAAGGAATCAGTAGAGAAAGAAGATTAGTATGGCCTGGAGAGAATGAGGCACCTGGGTGTAACCAGAGGATCTGGCCGGCTCACTACACTCAGAGGAAAGGCAAGACGGACATATAACCAGATTGTAACTGGTATCATCAGTATTGGAACTCTGTGTGGGCTGCTGAAAATGAGGACGGAGCACACATGGGAATACCCTAAGTGCTGTGATGTCAGCTTTTGACTCAACTCAACGCTTTATTTCCATTCTATCCTGTGTGATTGTTTCAGTATCAGTTAGTTGTTTGAAAGTCCTAATTTTCTCAGTCCTTTTGTTTTCCATTGCAAAGCCTGTTTGATGATTCTCTGCATTCTGTTTCCATTTTCTTCTCATGATGTGCCTTATATCCCATCTTTAAAAAAAAAATTATTTGTAATATTGTAATTGTTGATACCAGCTGTTGTTCAGATATTTCAATTATTTCTTAGTCTTTTCTATTTCTTTAAATTCATCCTATTTCTCCTCCTCCTCCTTCTTCTTCTTCTTCTTCTTTAAAAGGCTGGTTGGCATGTGTTGTTGTTTATAGCTAGGGTGTGATTTTTGCACCTTTTGGCCCAACATATTCAGTTTCAGCGAAACCCTAATTAGTCGGCTTTAAAAAAATGCTTGTTGGGAGTGTGGGGGGGGGGGGGGGCAATGGGTCTGTTCCTTTTCTCCCCTCCAATATGAGGCCCGCAACCCACACTGGGAATTCATCCCATTAGATATTTATCAGTTTCCTTAGGCATTTGTTTTCAAATGCATTTAACTTTCATCTTAGATTAATTCTTGATGCCAGTATTATGAATTTGCATACGCCCTATAATGGGACAAGTTATCGATCAAGATAAGACAGAATACATGATAATAACTAGACAGGAAAAGGATATAAACTCTGGCCACATACAAGTCGATCATATGATAATCAAATGAACGGAAACATATAAGTGCTTGGGTGCAAACTTCAGCTGCTCCAACATGCTGGGAGAAGTAATACAATCTGGAAATAAAGTATTCTATACCCTTCAACATCTGCTAAAGTCAAAGTGTCTGTCTCGCAACACCAAGATCAGAATATATAAAGCGTTGATAAGACCAGTCGTTTTATATGGCTGTGAAACTTGGAGCACAAATTACAGATTTGTGAAAGCAGTCTTATGATAAATCTTTGGACCTGTAAAAGATGCAAACAGCGGTGAATGGAGAGTGAGAAGCAACAAAGAAATTCATAATCTGTTTAAATCATCACTGACCAATGGCATCATGAGAGCTAATAGACTGAAATGGTTTGGGCATATTGAAAAAATGTAAGATGACAGAAAAGTAAAATTTGTATGCATAAAGGAGATGAATGGTCGTAGACCGTGGGGCAGACCAAGAAGACGATGAAGAAATAATATCCAGACAGACCTGCAAACATTTGGTGTCACCAACTGAAAAGACAGGGCCAACCAGAGAGATGAGTGGAGGCGGTGATATTTGCAACAATGAACCCCAAGGGCTCGGAATGCTGAAGAAGCAGAAGATACACCCTATGCATTACATTCTTCTTCTTCTCCATAGCATTCACTGTCTGTAAACTTTGGTGGAGGGTTCTGGTTGTTCATCCATTTCAGGTCTTTGTTCTTTCACCAGAACTTGAGTGTTGCATGCACATTCGCTTTAAAGATCTTGCTTTTTTGTATGCAGACTGTTGGATCTTTCCCTGTCAGGCAGATGCACTCCGACTTTGAAAAAAAACACCTGATTAGTTACCTTTTACAACATGCTCCTTAAGGGCGGTGGATGTAGCGGGTCTGTTCCTTTTTGTTCCCTCAGATGAGAAGACATTTGGTTGAAGCCCTATAATTATGAAATAAGTAAAACATGTTGAGGAAATATTAGCAACTTTCCCCTCATGCCAGCCAAATTTGTAGATCTTCTTATTTCTCCTCCACACTGCTACTTTAAGGTTTGACAATCCTGTGACCTGAAGAATCAGGTCCTTCTTATCACTCCTACAAGACAAATCCTGTATATCTTGTTCAACCTACTCAAGTGTTATAGTTAGGGCTTCAATAACAAGTAGACAAAGTACTGGATTGGTGTAACTTGCTACTCTAGACATGTGAGGAATTGGAAGTGGGATTGCCTGATTGAGCACTCTCCACGAAAGAGACACAACGAATACGTTGATATTTACGTCTTACATGGGACCTTTAAAGTGTGAAGACTATCGCACCATAAGTCATGTGAGTCATGTGACAAAAATGTTACTGAGAATAGTTATAAGAAGAATAAGAAACAACATTGAACCAGAAATTAGCGAAGAACATTGTGGATTTGTAGAAAGAAAAGGTACAAACAATGCCATAATTCCTCAGTACTCTTTCGGAAAGAGCTGTAGAAGTTAAATATGATCTTTACTTATGCTCATTGATTATACGAAAGCATTTGATTGTGTAAAACAGGAAGAAATAATCAAAAGTTAAATATTGATGGAAATGATTTAGGAATTATAAAGAACATGTATTGACAGCAAACAGCAGCTTTAAGAATTAGTAACCAGTTGGGAACATTTCAGAGCATAAAGAGGAGTAAGACAAGGATGTATACTATCACCTGATTTGTTTGCATTATACAGTGAATATATAATAAGATAAATCAATTGTGATTAGTGGGCATAGCATAAACAACCTGCATTGTGCTGATGACACTGTCTTAATAGCGACAAGTCAGAACAAACTACAGAAATTGAAAGATTTGTAGTTTTAGAAAGTGATAAAATAGGCCTCAGTTTGAATAACGGAAAACAGAAGTAATGGTGATTTCCAAGAAAAGAAATGCCTAAAGGTATAGTAGAAGTGAAAGGCATTATTTTAGGACAAGTACAGAAATTATTTAGGCACATGGATAACATCTGATGGAAGATGTAACTTAGGGATAAAGAACAGAATAGGACAGGCCAAAACTGCTTTTTACAAACACACAAATTTATGCAATAAATCCATGTCATTGGGGGTTAGGAACAGAATTCTTGCATGCTATATAGAGCCGTACTTTAACATAGGGATGTAAAGCCTGGACAATTAATAAACGAGCCAAACAATATCTTGAGACCTCTGAGATGTAATTTTACAGAAGAATCCTTAGGTTTTGCTGGACAGCTCAGAAGAGCAACCCAGATGTTACGAAATAGGTGAATGCTCGAAGACAACATTTCACGAACATCAGAAAGATACAGTCATCACTTTTTGGTCAAGTTATAAGAAGAGGGAAAATGGAACATGTTGTGACCACTGGAAAGAACTTTGGACAGAGGAAGACAGAGTGAGAAGATTATGGACAGTCTTTTGTCATGTCATGGAGGGGTGTCAGCACACGGACTGATACACACAGTTGCAGATGACAGATTGTGGAGAGGCATGATCACCCACGTCAGCCGGCAAGGCACTTGATAATGATGACATGGGACCTGGGTTCAGTTCTTCGGTAAGCTCATGGAGGTTTCTTCTGGTGGGGAGGGCGAAAATCAACATCACCTGCAGAATTCACGGTGACTGCACTAATCATGTGGCCCTAAATCCTCAGGCTTAAGTCCTTCCCTCTCCTACACCCTAAACATTTGGTGAATGCAGTCAGTAAAGACAGTTTTTTTTTTTATACATCTGCATCATATAAATTTTGTTTACACATCTACATCACATAAATTGAGTTTATAATCTAAAAATAATACACCAGTTTGGAATTTAGAAAAAAAAAAGAATGACTATTTCTGGGATGTAACTTTAAACATTGACACCCAGTGACTCAAAGAACCACTTAAAAATTTTTTAATCTAATAGGAACAAATACCTAATACCCCATTCAATCATAAAATAAATAAATTGGGGAATGCTGAAGTTATGTAGTGTAGATGAAGATTTTTATCCAGTTCATAAGATGAGCACAGAAAATGCCTAATTATAACCATGTTTGTATTGAACTATATTAACCTGTGGCAAATTGATATCCTTTCCTCCGCTAGCAAGCCTATCAGTGTATTGAGTGGAGGAATGATACTCCGTGGGAAGCTCAGCCTAATTTAGACTTCATGGCTCCAGAGTATGAGTTGACTCATGACTGTTCCCCTGCCAGCGACATGTTCTCCTTTGGCATCCTCATGTTTTCTCTTTACAATAAAGGGAAACCACTATATGAGTGTAGAGGAGAATTGAGGGTTTTCAGACAAAATGTACAAGAGGTATGTGGATTGTTAGTGTAGAGAATAAACGACAAATGTATAATAGTTCCACTTTACAGAAATTACAAATCCTAGCCTACAAAGTTCGTAATGACGTGAGTTGAGTCAAGAATTGACATCACAGCACTCGGGGCATTCCCATGCATGCTCTGTCCACATCTTCAGCATCTAGCGCAGAGTTCCAATACTGATGGTACCAGTAACAATCTGGTTAAATGTCTGTCTTGCCTTTCCTCTGAGTGTAGTGAGCCGGCCACACCCTGTAGTTATACCCAGGTGACTCATTCTCTCCAGGACATAATAATCTTCTTTCTCTACTGATTCCGTTGCTTGTTCCCAAAGGGCCTTGACCACATCTGCCTTGTCATGTATCAGTTCACCACCAAGTGGTGCAGGTCCAGCCAATCTGTCTGCCTATTCATTATCCACGTGGTCTGGATTAAAGATTAAAAGTATGCTCCCTACCTGCGACCTTTCCGGTGAAGTTTGCCACTCTGCTCGGAGCATCCCTGTCTTCTAATGACCTTAAATCCTCAGGCTCAAACTTCTGTGTCCTATTGCCATTACTGTCTTGTACCAGAACAAGAGTATTGCTTGCACATCTGTTTTATAGATCTGGCTTGTATGAATGCAGACTGTACGGTCCTCACAACTTAAGGAAACACTCAAAATTAGTCACCTCTTATGACATGCTTGTGGGAGGAGGGTGTAGTGGCTCTACTGCAAAATGGGGCCCTGGAACCCACATGAAAATAAAATGTTATGATCATCTGTTTGTAAAACTTAACTTTATCCGGTGTTACATCTGTGATCCCCTTACTCAGCATGCATTCTTCTGTTTCTTCTTCTACATTCAACCTTAAGGTTGTTTGTCACATTTTTTTGTGGTTTACAACAAACTTGCATATCTGTGCCTCTCAGCTCGTTACATCAGATGTCAGCAAGTCCCCAGTTAGTGGCCTTTTATAACATGTTTTTTTGGGGGGGGGGCGGGGGGAGGAGTAGGTCTATTCTTTTATTTTCCTCCCGAAATGGATCCCTGGAACCCACACATGGATGGATGAGTTCAACACCATATCATTTTCTTTTTATTAATGTTGCCTACTGTCATATTTTAAATTATGATGATCACCAGGTCCGTCACATTGTGTATGGTTGTCATTATTGGCTGTCTATTTTTTGGTCAGTTTCTAAGTCTGGCTTCCGTCTCACTGTATATAACTCTGTTGATCTGTTAAATGATAGTTGGTCAACCTCTCTCTTTCTCTCTATCTCTATCTCTGTCTCTCTCACATGTCTCTCATATTAAAATATATTACTATATATTAAATTTTTTTCCGATATTGAATTTAATAAAGACACAAATGATATGTAACACAATATTTTTGTGTGTTTGGTATTTTCGTGTGGACAAATGTCTGAGGTAATTAATGAACATTTAATGGATTGAACTGAAGAAAGACAAAGAAATCAGAGGAATCTGGGGACAGTCACTGGTATCAACAGGTTCTTCATGTCATTTTCTCTCTCCTGGCTGCTTCCAGAAGGTTTGACTCTCTGAGACTACTGAATCTCAGTCTGGATGGTAGACCAACATGGCAGATCCTGTATACCCTGTTTAACTTCTAAAGAAGTTATAATTGTGGCACCTGTAACGGCTACACCAGACTGATGTAAACTGCAATCCTGTGCGGGTGGATGATTTATGTTCGGGACATGTCCGGAGGAGAACTGGGTATAGAATCACAAACAGGTACTGAAATATGAACATGGATTTAGGAAACAAGGATGCCAAGAGAAACCCTGAGATAGAAATGGATGAGAGAGCCCAAGGGGCTGAACTAGATTCCATCCATGAGATAGAAAAGATTGCACAGCATAGAACGGTGTGGGGGAATAGACTATGAGCCCTGTGTAACATATAAACTACACGGCAAGATAATAATGATAAAATTTCACTGTTCCATATAGTTTACTATGATCCTCTGTCTAAAGGTGTGAAAAAGGGTTCTTTAATTTTATTTTGCTTACAATCGTCTGCCTGTCTGATTTCTTTTTCTTTACCTCCATGACATTAGACCAAAAGAATGACAGCTTAGAATCTATAGGATCGCTGTGACGTGCGGCGGCGGCGGCTTCATGATGATGTGTGTCGTACCAACGATGAAATAGGCCAAGTGGGGCAAACAGTAGAAACTTAAATGCTTTCCAACGTTTAAACAACGAACGCTCTACGATAGGTTCCATGGCTGTATTGATATACCAATGATCAACGGATGAAAACGTGCAATTAATAAAGACTCATTCAACCACACTAACATGAGCCCACTCGACATCAATTGACTTCATAACAAATGACGTGTCACAGTCCGACCTTGGAATCCGGGCAATCATGACTATCTTCTCTTCTGCAGCCTGAACAAGGTAATATAAGTATACCGGCTTACTGCCGAACGAAGTAGACACTATACCAGCTTTCTGCTGAGTTTATAGTGGAGTCCCGGGGTAGAGCGTCCTCAAGGATCCAACTTTGATTACCATTCCTTCAGTGGCATCCCGGGGTAAAGCATCTTCAAGGATCCACACGTCTGTCTACTTCAGATTGTAAACATCGAATGTCTTTGACAACAATTCCCTCACTACCTGACTAGACCATGTGAAGTTGTTGCTAAACATAGAACCCACTTTACGTCCAGAGACAGCTCAGATGATGAGGGTCTGTACTTTGTGTTAAGTTCGTGCAGTCTTTTTGTTCAAATTATGCTGTCAAATTTTGCTTAGTTTTTGCTGTCAGTTTATGTTTGTGCTGTTATTTTACAGTCAGTTTGGGCTGTCATTGTTCAGTTTCTGCTGTCATTTTATTTTCAGTTTGTGCTGTCATTTTATTTTCAGTTTGTGCTGTCATTTTATATTCAGTTTGTGCTGTCATTTTATTTTCAGTTTGTGCTGTCATTTTATATTCAGATTGTGCTGCCATGTTGCTTAGGTTTTTTTGTGGTCATTGTTTATTGTTCTGAAAAGCTACCCACATTGGTTGGACAGCAGGCAAGTTGCTTCCAAACTGTACGGTGCCCCAGTATAACTGTTTTATACAGTGTAACAAAAGTTTCTGGGACGTGCTCCTGCTTATTTACATCTGAATAATGACCTTCTATCTTTAGGTGTCCTTCTTTCAGATTCAAATAATCCCATTGGTTGAAAAACTGAATATTAGACTTCTTTGGTGATATTGTTGATTGTCTGCATTGGATTTGGTCAGGGAGTAATATAATAATGTTCTGTTATTACAAGGTAATAAATAAATGCCTTAGAAGAATACTAAATTTCAAATGGTCAGATTTCCGAACCAATACACAAATAAGGCAAGAATCCAGGCAAGAGTATGTGTCTAATTTTATACGAAAACGCCGCTGGAACTATGTCGGCCATGCCCTTAGAATGGATAAATCAAGACTTCCTTACCAAGCCATCATTTGGACACCACAGGGGAAAAGATCTCGTGGAAGACCAAGGGAAACCCTACGTAGAACTACCATCAGGGAAGGCTCGCTCATGGGCCACTCAAACATCCAAGACCTACAACAGATTGCAACGAACCGCCACGCATGGAGAGTCATGACCTCTGCCCTATGTGCCGCACTCGACACAAGAGGAAAGACTAACTAACTAACTAATTACAAGGTCCGACAAATAATTAATGAAACTGATTTTATTATGGCCAAGACAAAAAAGCCATCTATGAAGCAAAGCATAGAATCTAAAGAGGCAACATTCATCTATGATCTGGCAACTTTTCATCGCCACTCGATAAAACTCAGAAAAAGTGTGAAAAGTTTATGGGGATAATTGTTTAACTCGTGCACAAATTTTCATATGGTATTCACGATTCAAAAGTGGTGTGGAAATTATTACTAATGCACCTAGACTTGGACTCAAAGTTTCTGTACATAATGATGAACTCATTGCAAAATTTAAAGAATGCATACAAAATGATCATTGTTTTACTGTGAGGATGATGGCAGATGAATCGTGTTAATAGAGAGACCATTCATAACATATTTGTGCAAGATTTTGGCGCCCCAAAAAGTTGCTTGCCGGCTTGTACCATATTCATTGTCTGATGACCAAAAACATCAGCGGATTGAGTACCCAAGAGAAATCATCAAAAACAAGTGTGTGTTCTCAGCCTTCCACCCTAATCCCCAGACTTGTCACCGTGGGATTATTTTATATTCGCAGAATTAAAGTTACAATTGAAAGGACGCTTCTTTAACTATATTAATGACATCCAAAGGGCCGTAACATCGACTTTAAGGGCCATAACAATAGATGAATTACAGAGGTCGTTCCAATGTTTGTTAGATCGTGCCACTTGCTGTATCAATGCACAAGGGGGCTTACTTTGAATCAGATACAGGTTATATCTTCAACTGTTGATTAAATTTTAATGGAATTAGTCTCATTTCTTAATTGAATGACCTTGTATGTACATCTTTGTGTATGTTTGTGTGAGTGTGTGTCTGCCAAACAAGAATGCCCTAGACCAGTAGTGTCCAAAGTGTTAAAAATAAGCATCATTGCTGGCCAGTGGCCTCAGCCCAGCATAGAAAGATCACTTATACAGTACAGCTGACAGTGATCCTTGGGCCACCCTTTAGGCCTCGGTTGGCTAGATTCAATTCACAGGCCACCAGTTTTATAGCCCTGCCTTAGATCATGCAAAAATATGAAATGCAATCATCAAGAATGACTTTCAGGAAATGAAGACAACTTGCAAGGCACATTGAAAGTCTTCACTTCACTGAGGGAAATGAAAGATGCAAAGTTAGACCTATACAATATTTGAATAATTTACCTGTGTACCTTATTGTTTATCATTCTGTATATATTCAGAGTCGGCTCTGTGGCTTAGTCGATGTGAACGCTTCCTAATGCCGAGATGCCCGGCTCGATCCCAGCTGCAGGTCATGCGCCTTGCGTTGGTTTTGACAGTGGTATCAAGAAAGCCGACCGTCCAGAAAGCAATGGCAAACTACTGTTGCCTAGAAAAACCACACAACAGCCGGGAGCTGCTGCTTGGGTTGGTTCTGCAAGTCCTGTAAAGGATACGCAACCAACCTTATATATTCAGAACATATTAACTTATATGAGTCTATGACATTATTTTATGTATATTTTTTATGGTCCTATATAACTAGGCTAAGTACATTTTAATAAAATAGGTATCACAAAACAAAATAAATGTACTTCATTGTTTCACTTTGTTGTATAATGTCCTTCTAAACTGTTTTCTTTGACTTTTAATATCAGTACTTAAAGACATGCTTTTTTTTTTTTTTTTTTAATTTAAATTATTTGATAATCAGTACTTGAATGATGTTAAATCTCGTATCTAAAGAATTAGATGTTAGGTTTCTTTCTTCTGCAGATTCCTTTCTTTGAAGATATGGCTTGCATTGCACTGCAGTATATTGATTCATTATATCAGAGAGAAAATATGGAGAAATCCAACTTTTTTAAAGGTCTTCCCAAAGTGATTGAGCATCTTCCAAAGGTATGACAGTTGTTATATTTGCAAATTAGTATTCTTCAAGTGTTTTAACTCCATTTAACTCTTTGAGTCCCAGGGGGTTTAGCATCACAGGCTCAGGGTGTAGTAAAGAAAGTAATAAAATAAGTTAGTTAATTAGTTAGTTGGGTTATCATCATTGCACTCCGGACATGTCCATAGGTGCTCAGATCCTTCCCTCAGTATGAACCCCAAAGTCCGATGGCTAATAGTACCAGTTCTATGTTGATTAACAAGTCTTCTGGCATGTCTGGTGTACGTCTTGTTTTTTGCTGTGCCGATCTTAATTCCTGAGTCTGCCATTTTGGCGAGTGATGTGGATTCACTGCCACCTCTGAGGGCATTGATAATATCAGATTGATCCATAGGCTGTGATAGAGGATCCAGCCAACCTATCAGCTCTTTCATTTCCATCGACGCCTGTGTGTCCCAGAACAAAAATAAAGGTGACTTCACGCACACTGAACTTCTGTAATGATTCAAGCCATTGTCTTCGCACTGAACCTGCCTGAACCCTCCGGATCATACTCATTGAATCACTGAGTATACATACGCAGATGTATTTTTGTGTTTTAAGCCAGGCAAACGCTTGCGTCACTGCCATCGTTCATTGGGCTTCTAGGTAGGAACCTATGAACGTATGATGCATTCTTTGGGACTCAAAGAGTTAAACTTCAGTTACATTTCAAAATAGCTCTGTAGTCTGATATACTAGGTTATCCAGAATGATGGATGCACTTTCATTCCTTGAATGTAAATGAAATATGGATAATATGCATACAAGAGATAGGGGACCGTCTACAAACTTACAGTAGAGATTATAAATGTTCAATATGGCTGCCATCTGCTGCTCGGCAAACATCTAAGCAGTAGCTGAACTCATCCCACACATGAAGAAGCATTTCTTGAGTAACTGCAGCTGTGATACTGTTCTCAGGTCAGCCAGAGTTTCTAGTGGCAGTATTCAAAACCTTTGACCTTCCCCTCTTTCTTATATGTATATTATTAATATGTATTGCAAATTCAAGGAAAAATACGTGAATAAAAATGTATCCATCATTTTGAATATTCCTGTACAGTTGTTTTTGAGTTGTTGGTATACTTGCTTACTTAAGTGGGTAATTTGCTTGCTCCTGACAATTTTTACAGTCAGTATGTATTTTTTTTAAGGCGTGAAACATGTATTAGATGTATTTTGCATGCTCTGCGCTGCTGTTTAAAATTCATTGGTGTAAATATAAATACAGCATTTTGAAAATATGTTTTTTTTAACGATCTATACTTATAATAATTTCCATAATTCATGCTAAAACTGTCTTTGAGCATATCTTCTGTATCTGAATAAGGTAGGTGACTTCTTTTATTGCACTGGGCCATTTCAAAGTGGTTAAAACATAAGAAATACTTACTTACTAACTTACTTGCTTAGTCGCTCCTCTTCTACCTTGGGATGTAGAGGTTTGCCAGCGAGATCGCCAGACGTCTCTATCAGCAGTTTTCTTTCTGGCTCTGATCCATTCCAGTCCTCTGTCAGTTAGGGACTATCAGATGCTGTCTTCCCAGTGCACACTGAGTCATCCTGGATGTCTGGTTCCCTGGTTTTTAACCTCCTATGCCTGCCATGGTGGCCGATTTTCTCCAATTCTACATACATGTCTAAACCATCATAACTGTGACTGATCCACTCAGGTTTGTAAGGACTGGGTATCAAGATCTTGACGTATTGTCTGATCGCCGACTTTGTCCCTTCTTGTCACTTGGACCACCTTTCTCAGATATCTCATTTCTGAAGCCTCAAGCTGGCTTCTGTGAGCTGTTGTCATTGCCCATGACACACACCCATAGGTCAAGACTGGTACATAGGTAGAGCGGTAAACAGACATTTTCGTCCTCTTTCAAATTTCTCTTTTGCTAAGAAACCCTCGGTTTATGGCCTGGAAGAGTCTCCCAGCAGCTGCTTTTCGTGTAGCCAGCTCAGTCGTAATGCCTCCATTTTGGTCTAATACAACTCCAAGGTATTTGAACTGGTCATAAGAAATAATTATGAATAAAATCCCACTCTGAGGAAATTGTTTGGTTTGGTTCAAACAATGAATCAACATCATGACACAATGTTAGTCTCCGTTCTCCTTCTAACTCAAGCCTGAGTCTGAAGAATCTCAGCGCAGTGCACTAACTCCGTAGCACCAGCAAGGATCCTGAAATACTTTAGGTACATTTTTAACTGGGCAGCACCAATAGGCTACTCTTTTTGAATTCCAATGTCCGGTCTTACTACCCACCCAGAGACCAGGGAAAATTACTAGAAGTCTACATGAAAAAAAAAACAGCCTTCATGGGGGCCTGAACCAGGGACCTCCAGCACTCGAGGCGGACGCCATGCCTCGAGACCACTCAGCCCCTCTGATTGGGGCTAAGTGTTCTCACTCAATGATAAAATGCTATTCCATAGTAGCACATACATGGTTACTCAAGCAAACCAGGTGGAAGATGGCCGGGCTGCATGATATGTGGAAAAAAGAACAGAGTAAGCTCTTCTACCTTGTTGAGAAAACTACAGCTAACACAGCAGTACAGTCTACTAGGAAGCAGCTTTTCATAACCAGGATATTCAGACCTTAGAAAGTCACAGACGGATTTATACATCCTACCCACTCGGATAAAAAAATGGGTTGGAAGGATAGGTAAACTGCTTGATCTGGAAACAGGAAAGGATTCAGTTCATTTGCCTTGTTCAGAAAACTCCAACTAAAACAGTGATGCAATTTACAAGCAGACAGCTTGTCATAACCAGGGTATTCAGACCTCAGAAAGTCACAGGTGGATTTATACTTCCTACCACTTGGATAAAAAGTGAGAAGGGCAGATAGATCCGCAGTACACACTTAAAGGTAGCATTGGTAGCCTAGTGGCTAGATACTCATCTGGCTACTCAGAGGTTAGGTCTTAGGTTTAAATTTTCATTGAGCCAGATATTTATTCACGTTTGAACTTGGCTTCCAGATCGACCCAGCCTAAAATAGGTACCAGAAAATGACCTGGGAAGTAAAAGCAGCTGGTGTGATTTTGAGCACATCACTGAATTCTGATTGGTCTATAAAATATAGATCCAGCACTGTATGCCTGGTGTGCCAAATGCATGAAAAGTGCCCTTGACTTACATAACTTATCCACCGAGATGGCAAGTGGGAAAGACGGATCTATCCACAATGCCCACTTGCCTCTTCTGGTACCAAGCAGTGGATCAAGTGTGATAAACTCATTCTCATGAATCCCACACATTATGCAGCATGTTCTGAAGCTTTTTTTTTTTTAATTAGGTCACAGAATACTAAAGAAATCTGGCATTCCTAGTTGCCTCTTTGAAAGCTTTAAAATCATCACTTTTGTAGTGGTGGTTATTCCTCTTTGTAAGCAACTGCTATTAAAAAGTGTTGGGGACTGAAAGAGAAATGGGTATTTAGACTTTTAAAATTTTATTTGTTTTGCGTTAATGCATATTCTGTTTATGGATTTTCTGTTTCTCTCTGTTTAATAGAACCAGGAAGATTATCTTACCGAACATCCAGTAAGGAAATAAAAAAGGAAAAGGACTCTTCTCATGCCATTGGCACATTGGACATAGATTGCTAGACTCATTATTATATAGACCAGGCCGCACTCTATAAGTGATGTGGTCAACATCACATCGTCCACCTTTACTTCCCTCAGTGTTTCCTTTTACCCGTTTTAGGCTGCACGAACGAGAAACCCAAGCCATTTTTTTTTTTCGACTTGCAGATTTGAACCTTTGGATTGGCAGTCAGCATTTAATCACATATTGCTTGGACTTATATGAGTTAACTAGTAAATAGTGCCTGGGTACTTATTATTGTATATCTGTTGCATTAATGTTCATTAAATTTACTTCACAAATCTGGTAATAGAGAGTGAGCCAACAGAGAATCCTGCCTGCATTGTTCAAGGAAGGCATAAACAACAACATGGTGCCATTCATTCTGCCCAGCATATTCATGATATCTGAGCAGTCTACCAAAGAAGAGTATCAGGCTCTTGTGTTGCCAGAACTAATCCCCTTTTTCAAGATCAGGGAGCCTGTTCAGGCAAGTCTTTTGCATTTATAGTGAAGGTTATACTGTGAATATTTGTTGTATAAGGTGACACAGGTGGGTGGGTGTGTGTATGTATATATATATATAATTTAATGAGTTTGTTGGGGGGGGGGGGGGTAAAGAATAGACTTACTGCCTCCTTACAAGCATATTGTTAAAGTCACTAATTAAGGGTGTTTCCTTAGAAGTTGGGGGCCATCTGCCTGTTTTGAGAAAAGGCAACAGCTTCTCTTGGCTCATTTATTGATATTCTCCTCTTCCTTCTTTCTATGAGTGCTAATCGACACTTTGACTGTTTATTATATTTAACGTTTATACAGCCTCATGTATTTCCTCTCTGTTTTTTTATGTTACATATGTGTAACACAATGGAACAGTCAGATTCTTTCTTGAATGTTTGTTGTATTCTAGACACAGCATTACGGTCTGATATGTTTATAATTGTTGTTGTGTTTGTTATTCGACCAGTGCTTGGTTAATGTAAATTTTGTAACCTATAATGCCTTTTCAATGTTTGAGATGAATTCTCTCCATATTCCATGGTAATGAATTTCAAGCTGTATGATAAACATGGCCAATGAAACCTTTTTTTTAGGGGTGCCTAGTTGGTCATGTATATTGGTACATTTATTTCCATAGCAAGACAGGCTATTTTGGAAGTGACATAGCTTTTGATTTTTATGTTGTTATGTGTGTCTAAACAAGTTCCAATGGATCAAGAGGTGAAGAAAAGATGGTGGATAGTACACATGTTTAGAAAACCTGTTAACAGTTTAACTAGAATGTCTGCACTGGAACCCACAGGGACATAGAAATAAATAAAGACTAAAAAACACATAAAGAAGGGAGTTAGTTAGAAAGATGAGGAGGACATGGAAAGAGCTGCATGCCATAGCAAAAGATAGAACAACTTGTTGTTAGTTGGTTGAGGGCCTGTGCTCCACTTGGGCTTAGAAAGGCAGAAAAAAAGGTGTCCTTCTATCTTTCTGCTTCTTTCTATGAGTGCCTATTAGTACATGGTCTGTTTGTTTATTGTATATAGAATGAGGGTGCTAAAATGTTACATAGAACTTGTTCTGATGTATGGCAGCAAATCTTGGAATGTCAGTGAACAAATTAGGAAAAATTTGGAAGCAACAGAGATGCGATTTCTGAGACAGATGTTACGAATACCCTAGACAGCCAGAGTAACTAACAACGATTGCTTGAAAGAAGCTAATGAAAGTAGATCTCTATATACAACAATAAAAAAGAGACACTGTTCTTTTGCCACATAATGAGAAGACAGTCATTGGAGAACATTGTGACAACTGGAAAGATTAGTGGAAAAAGGGGTAGAGGCAGACCAAGAGAGTTGATGCTGGATGGGTGAAACAATGGCATGGAAGGATATCATCAAGAAAGCTGTTTTAGGCAGCCAGGGATCGTGATCTATGGAGGTGCATGAGTGCCCACACCAGTTGGTAGGTCACATGATGATGATGATGATATATTGTTTTGAGAAGTTTTGTTTACTTACTAAAATGAAGTTAATTATACTGAAAACAAAACACACACACACATATATATATTCTTATGTGTTCAGGTCATGCTTATGTTCCTTCAAAATATGAGCCTCCTGTTAAGTAAGACCCCAGCCCAACAAATCCAGACCTATGTTTTCCCGCTGATCTTCTCTGCTCTGGAGTCAGATAGCCCTCAGATTCAGGTATGCTTACTTTTTATCTCTTATTTTGCCTTCAGTTCTTCAGTGGTGTGTTTATTGTAGCAGGACTCTGGTGATAGTTTCATTTACTCATGTAAATGCTATTGTGTGTTTAATGTTACATGTTAACCACGCCTCATTGTTCATGTACCCACACAGGAACTACAGGTTACACCAGTGTTGCTGTTAATGAGTACCCCAGCTAAGACTTCTTTTGAAGTTCAACAGGGTGTTTGGTATTTACCCTGTTGGTCTGCCATCCAGATTGAGATTTTTTTTTTAGTCTCAGGGTTCATACATTTAGGAAGCAAACCAGAGAGGCAAAAACAGAAGAGTAGACAATAATTGTTCACTCTGTGGCACAATTCATACCTGATATAGCGTGTTTGTTTTTAAAATCTATAATTAATAGGCTACTGAAAAGTTTGATTTTTTTTTTTTTTATATACCACAGAAAAAATGCATGTCACTAACAATACTTGTTTTAGAAGCTCTTACTATATTGAAACAGTCTTAATCGGTGTTAAAAGAGTTTTTCATTTATTCATTTTCGTGTTGTACTGTTATATGTTACGTAGGGCTCACAGTCTTTCCATTTGGTTCTATTCTGAGCAGTCACTTCAGTATCATGGATGGGATCCTTCTTCTTCTTCTTTGCATTCACCAGCTTTAAACTCTATCAGAAAGTTCTGGGTGTTCATCCACTTCCAGACTTTAGTCTTGTTCCAGAATCTGAGTGTGTGTGTGTGTGCACATCTGTTTCACATATCTGGCTTATTTGTGTGCAGACTCTTGGTTCTTTGCTTCTCAGGCAGATGCCTACTCTGACTTTGAAGGATGCCTCCACTTTGTCGACTCATACCATATATGCTTATTGGGGAAGCAGTGGGTCTATTCTTGTTTTCCCCACAATGGAGCCCTGAAACCCACACGGGGATGATGGAACCAAATCCAGCACCTTGGCTTCTCTCTTCAATATTTACCTTAGGGATTCTCTTAGACGCCTTTATTTCCTTGATCCATTTCCAGTTTCATTGCCTGTTTGGTGATTCTCTGTTTGTCTCTAGTGGTTGCCCTGACATTACTCTCATTTCTTAAGTGCTCATCGATTTATCCCATTTTACATTCATAATTTTCCTTAGGCATTTGTGTTTGAATGCATTTAACTTTAGTTATATATATTTAGTGGTTGTTAAGAGTTATTGGCTACAAAAACTAACTTCCCATCTTGAGCAAGAAAATATATTTGAAAATATCTGGTCTCAAATTATTAGAAAGTAATAGCAACACAGTGACCTGCCTGTCAGCCTGAAGGTCTTGGGTTTGAATCCACATGGAGGCAGGTTTTTGTAAGAGAAATATGGTTTCCATGTCAACCCAGTCTAGGTTAAGGATCAGGAAGTGTTCTGAGAAGTAAATATGGATGTGTGACATTATGCTAACCACTTCACTCATCAAGTGCTGATAGAAATATGGGTCTAGCACCATATGTCTTGATGCATCAATTGTAAGCAAAGCTTTTCTGTTACTCTACTTTTACAAATACCATATTTGTCCATGTAAGACAATATGTTTTTTTGTGTAATTTAAGTGTAAGTTTAAAATTGGGGGTCCTCTTATACACAGAATGGTTTACAGTAGTTATGTGTTAATTTTGTCCTAACAAATTAGGGTAGTTTTTATAGATGGGTGTGTCTAATACATGGAAAAGTGGAGTATATTTTTAATAATTTATAAATGAAATCCTTCCTCCTGTTACACAATGCCACTGTCGCATACTGTATGCATTTCTAGCTTCTGTATTACCATTTAAACAGCCTCCAACAATATTTTAAATTGGTGAAGGATTTTATTCTATATTTTAATTGTTTGGTGTTATGTGTTATTATTCTCTTTAATATTGCTACAAATGGTGTTGTTTATATTATTGGAAATTTCCAGACAGAAATTTATTTTGTTTAACTTTTTTATAACAACACACATAAAGAGTCTCTGTGAGGAAGTGATTAAGCATTTTGTCAAGACTAAGTGAAGTTGAACCTTACTAGGACTGCATGCTGAGCAGTTAACAACTGAGGACCCAAAATGTCAGTATTTGGATGAGAATGCCCAGGTACAATCGGGAACCCACACGGGGATGGTGTTGCAGTGAAATTGATCCTTTCGCACATAAACATGTTTTTTTGTACCAAACCGTGATTCCTATTTTCAGTGGTTGTTCAGTACATGGCATGTTTTTTTCTGAATCTCTTTTAGGCCATACAGGTGTTGCTTTAACCCTCTTGGTCCTAAATGTTTCTCTTACTCTTTGGTCCCATAGGATGATTTGTTTAACTCATTTCAGTCGTAGGTGATTAGACAGCAGATCCCTTTTGGGAGAAATCATCAAAAGTGTATAATTTTCAAAGATACAAAGTGGAAATCTTCAGATTTCTTAAATTTGCTTTGATATGTACAGTTAAGTGAATACTATATAAAACATGACTAGCAAGCTCGGTGATGAGAAAAAAATACTTTTCTTGAAATGTTAGCTGCATTTATGTGCATTTTTGTTTTCTCTTAGTTCATATTTTGTGTTCCTTTACTACCTTAGATTTTTTTCTTCAGTATTCGAACCATTTAGATTCATTGCTACAGATATCACATTCATCTCTGTAATTGGTCTATTCCAGTCCCTCCTATTTTGATTCTTAGATATCTGTTCCATAAAAAAAAAATGTTTTACAAAGGCGGAGGCTTTAACCTGGAGGACCAGGGTATCTCTTTATTCTCTACCATTTGACCTATAGGTTTGGGAGGCTTCTGCTTGTAGCTGAACTGCCGCCACCAGCATAACTTTCAGGATTATTAAAAAACTCCAGCTCACTCACTACATCAAGATGGTAGTCCTTTGAACTAGTCGTGCATTATTTTTGGGTAACCAATGCTAAGGGTAGAATAAGCTTAAGTAACAACTACCTGGGATTCAAAGAGTTTATTTAGTTTTTGGTAACCAGAATTGTTTTTACAGTTTTCTTTATGTGTGGCAATTTTCCTTGTGTGTTTAGACAACAGACGGAACATCAATGCAGGTATAAGTAATGGGTTGCTCAGTCCTAACAACATAACCCTCTTATTTAGTAATGCTTTATTTATAGCAAGCTACAAAGCTTTTTTATGTGCAGTATAAAAGAGAAGTGAGAGTTATTACTTATAATTTGCTTACTCATATGTATTTAACCTGCTAAAGGTAGTCTGCTAGTAATAATGTGGGCAGCACCGATATCTTATGGCTGCTTATCTTTCAACTCATTCCTATTGTTTTGTTGTTTATTCATGATTGCTGAAGGTGACATTTTCTTCTTCTGCGTTTACTGTCTCTGAACGCTGACAGAAAGTCCTAGCTGGGTCATCTATGTCTGGACTTGAAGCCGGCTTGAAGATTTGAGTGTTGCATATTCATCCATTTTCCAGATATGGCTTATTGTTAGCACACTGGGGGTTCCTTGTTTTTTCAGACAGATGCGCTGCTTTGAAGGAAATGTTAATCCTGCCTACATTGACCATTCCTCTAGTAGGTAGTCCATTTCTAGGATGACCACATAGAGGTGTAAAATGTTGAATTAAGATTCAACATCATAGCACTCGAAACACTCCCATAAACACTGTCCCTGTGCTCAGCAGCAAGCAAAGAGTTCCAGTTCCAAGGGTGCCAGTAACTGTCTGATTGTACATCCGCCTAGCCTTTCAGGGAAGTGTTAAGTGTCGGCCAGATCCCCTGGTAACTCCCCACAGTGCGATTCTTCTAAATCAGTAATGATCTGTGTGAGCCTCGCCACTGTTCACTCGCTCGCAAAGGGCCCTCACAACATCTAGTTTGTCATACATCAATTCACCACCAAGTAGTGCAGAACCAGCCAGTCTGTCTGCCTGCTCATTTCCCAACACACCAGCATGACCTGGAACAATTATCATAAGGTCACTGACTACCTGGGACCTCTGAAGCGATGCTTGCCACTCTGCACAGCGCATGCCTATCTCCACCTTTCTCAACATACTCTGTGAGGATAGATATGTCTTGTCCAGTATGCACCCGGGTCTATGTGTTGATGCACCTCTGCATCCTGCTGAAGACTACGATATTAGCCTAGATTTAGTTGAAAAATGGCTGACTAGACCCATCTGAACCCAGAAATTTGTAAACTTCTAAAACACAATAGTTCAGAGAAGTAATTATGGATTATGAAGGGGGTCATTGATGTCTATAATCATTCACAATACTATACATGACATCATTATAACTTCTGATAGATTTGTATGTGTGTTTAGACTAGCTTACATATAGACTGTGGCTTGTATATCGAACATGGCTCATGTATAGGTGTACAGACTATATCTGATAACAATTAACGTGGGGGGGGGGGTGTTGCAAGATTTACATAGATTATTACTTTTTTTTTCTTTGCTTACTTCAAACTAAGTTGAAATCAGTCATTTTAACTTTAGCTTTGCTTTTTTCCGTTTATTATCGTAATTTTGTTTCTCCCTCTGCTTTTAAATGCAGCAGAAGCATATATTTCTGACAAATATAAAGCATCATATATATATTTTTGGTAACTTTGCTCATTTGCACAGAATAGTTTAGCAGTATTCTTAGATTAAATTCAGAAGTAAGGACACTGTTAAAAAAGGAAGGTGTACCATAGTGATTTCTCTCACTGGTGTAAGAGAAAGTTAAGGCCAATGTGAAGTGTATAAGGTGTTACTCTAGTGTTACCTCGGGCACCAGCAGGCTCTGTGCTGGTTTTACAGATCCTCATGTAAGACTCTAGCAAAACATCTTTGTCGTGCGCTATGGTTAGTGGCTACCTAAACAGATCTGGAAGGGGATCTCAGAGTTGGTGGTTCCCGGCTATGCAGTGTCCAGAAATCTTCTGGTTGTCATCAGCCCACCCACAGTGCCTGGGTGATAAGGTCCATTAAAAACTCTTTTAGAACATGAGTGAAGCCTGCTGGCTGAATACCCTATATGGCAAACTGGTTCCAAATGACTGTGGACCGAAAGTCCTAAATTGCTGTGATGTTCGTCAATCTGGTGTCGGGGTATCATAATCAGCTGAGCAGCCACCTCATTGCCAACTGTTGAGACTCAGTCCTAGACCACAAGATTTATTTGAAGCTCAGATAAGCAATATCTCTTGTGGGCGATATCTTTTTCGGCCTTTTGACATAAAAGCAATGCTTTAGATGTCCTGCTGACTGACAGACAAGGTTCAGATGTTTGGCACCATTGGCCCCATTTGTCAGAGTGTTGGGACCAGTCGGGGAAGCCAAGCCTGATGCATGCTTTTCCTGTACTGTTGTGCTAATTGCCCCAGTGCAACAGTGTTAAGTTGAACATGTCTAACATGCTTTAAAAAAAAAAAGATTGTGCCCATTTGTGTGGTCATCAATGTCCCGGCCCTGTTGACCTTCATCGAAGAAATGTGAGATTAAGTAGTCATGTGCAGGATGTGATGATTCCTTGGGTTAACACAGGACCAGAGTGTAATGTATTGGCTCTGATTTATGGAATCCTCCTCTTAGATGGTGGAGAATGCCCATGATCTGCCTTCCTTTGAGTGCCAATCAGTCTATACATGGTTGCCCTGTATGGGTTATCAGGGGGCAGCACATGTAGATAACGGAACAAAGAGGACACCCCACAAATAAGGCTCTATCATTTCCAACAAAACCAGTGAACAAAATATACGTTGAAGTTGGATGCTTCGGCTGAAAAGCGCAAATATCGGAGATATACTGTTAACGCATATTATTTCACAAATGAGGAGTGGATTTGGCACGGAGGGGCATATGAGAGGAACAGAACGACATATGTGATATTAGTTTGCAAAGGGAACAGTTAGCATCTACACCTTAAGATATTTGCTGCGGGAGATAGAACATCTATGTGTGTGCCTAGTGTCCTATGATAATGACACTTATAAGCAATAAACACTAATCAGACCACAGCATATTTTAGCTTTATAAGTGAGTATAAAGAGGGCAGAAAGGTTTGTAAAAAAAAAAGTAGAACAGTTCAAGCGGTGGGCATCAGATGCACAAAAGGCTAAATGGAAACATTGTGTGAACACAATGGAAGCTTCTGGAAACTGCATGGACAGATGCAAAGAAAATATTAGCCTGTTACAACAAGCATTATATGCATAGATAACAGTATATGCCTGTGACAACAGACAAAGAGATGTTAAAGTATGTTTGCAGAGATTTTTAGCACAAACTGATCACAATTATGATGAACTTAGAAATTAAGTTAGAGATAATCTACTGAAGATGGAACAAACAAAATAACTGTATTCACTCCCTTTGGCCACGAAAAAACTTGTTTCCTTTAGTGCATGGAAAATGATGTCATTTTAGTGATACGGAGACAATAGCCATTTGTCACCCCAGATAATATCTCACATTGTTTTAAGTAAATATAATCATGCCTGGCACATCTACACACTTTGCAGTTGCATCCAGCACCAATGCTGCACACACCCATAGTTACAGACTGCCAAACATGTCGTGCAAAAACAAAAACAAAAACTAAAGAGTCGAACAGCTGATTCTGGAGGGTGACAGGGTTTATTTTTTTATAAATATTTTTTTAAAAATGGAAATACCTTGTGATTCTGGCACAGTCTGGAAAAATAATCACCTGCTATGGAGGCAATAAGTTACAACTAAATGACCCACTTAGGTTGGTACATATGTTGATAGAAATGAGCAGGCTAAGATATTCAGTCACAGATTACAACTAGGGTTTGTAGACAAATTTTCATCAAATGGGTTGTACAGATTTTTTTATCTGCAGCTGGTGAGCACTCAAGCAAATTCCAGAGCACATCCCACACTACTGCTGATAAATTTTAGGAAATGAAATTGTAACACTAACAACTTGTTTGACTGTTGAAGACCAAATTATGATGACCTGTGACAGAATGGACACATAATTGAGATTGATTTCTGAAATAGAAGATTATCATCTTTGTACTAACAGTAAAATGCACCTTTTATAGCAGTCATGTGTAGTTCACAAAACCCATTGGGAAAAGACATGAATAGATGACAAATTTTTAAAGTATAATGTATAACCGTTTTTCTTGAAATATTATCCAGTTTCATTTCAACCATTTTGTTGTTTTAATAAAATTGTAGTTAAAACATTATGGTTTCCATATGGTATTAATATTGCTATATGTTAGCAGTATGTGTGCAAAGGCAGAGGGGTCGCTGGCTGAATGGTTACGAATGCTAGGCTCTTATTTGAGATACCCAGGTGTATATCCTTAGTAAGATGATAGAGTTTCTTTCTAGCAGGGGCAACAATAGAATCCTAACCTGCACAGTGTGTTTGTGGCGACTGCACTAGACATGTGACTGTAAATCTTCAGGCTCAGGACCTCCCTGTCCTACACCGCCGTAAAAAGTGCTAAATACCGAAAGTAAAGTCTGTTTTTTTTTTTTATGTGAAATCAGCTACAGACGATTTAGCAACAAACCACTCTGCATTAATTTTGATAAGTGTTTGAGTGGTATACCATAGATAAAGCAGTGACAAATTGCTGAAAATTAAATTATCTATTATCCCTTTATGCCGAGCTTGTCGTAAGAGTTGACTCTAACATGAATAGTTCTTTTGAAGTCAGAATGCATCTGCCTGAGAGGTAAGGAACCAACAGTCTGCATACAACAAACAAGCCAGATGTATAAACGGATGTGCATGCAAAACCCAGGTTCTGAAACAAGAATAAAGTCCAGGTGTGGATGAACAACCGAAACCTTCTGCGAGAGTTTGTAGCTGGCGAGCACAAACAAGAAGAAGTAGAAATGATCTAATAAAACCACACAGCCAATGTTAGTGTTTCTGATGTGCAGAGGATGGTATGCAACTAATTAGCCTTTAACTTAACTGATGGCTTATACTGTTGCTTTTGTTTCCTGTAGGAGTTGTGCTTAAGCATTATCCCAACATTTGCTGACCTTATTGAATACACAACACTGAAGAAGTCACTTATTCCCAGAATCAAGAAACTGTGTCTAGGAACCTCTGTGTTGACGGTAAAGACTTGCTAAGGGTGCCATCACTGTAATACCATATTGTTGTGTGTATAGTCAAATCAGAATTTGTTCATTTTTAATCCTATGTCTGAAGTCACTGTTTTTGCTGTTAAATGGTTTTGTTCCTGTTGAAAGCATTGTGTCTTTTGTATTGGTTGTGTCTGTTATCTTTGTAGCAGCTTTTGTAATAGCTGTGTCTGTAGTCACTGTTGTGATGGTTATATCTGTAATAACTGTTGTTGTGGTAATGGTTATATCTGCCGTAACTGTTGTGACCATTGTATCTGTTGTGACTGTTTTATCTGTAATAACTATTGTGGGTTATTATGACCACTGTGTCTTTTAGAACTGTTGTGTATATTAACTGTTGTGTCTGTTGTGACCATTGTGTCTGTCGTAACTATTATCTCTGTTCTGACCATTGTGTCTGTTCATCTGTTATGTCTGTTGCGACCATTGTGTCCGTTGTGACCATTGTGTCTGTTGCTAACTATTGTGACAATTGCGTCTGTAGTAAATATTATGTCTTTTGTGACTATTGTGTTTGTAGTAACTATTATACCTGTTGTGGCCATTATGATTGTGTCTGCTTTAATTTTTGTGTATGTTGAGACTGTTGCATCTGTAGCAACTTTTATGTCTGTTTTGACCATCGTGTCTGTGTAACTACTGTGTCTGTATTAAATCCACACATAATATCCTTACCTATTTACCAGCTTGTATTTATGTTTAGACTAAATGGTGATAGTAGATAACATAGAATGTTTTCCATGTTGCATTACTGGCAATTTTCAACACATTGATCATGTTGCAGGTCTTTTGGCAAATGTCAGCCTTATCACACCCAGGCACTGAGAGAATGCAGAGATACAAAGTTGCAAATACAAGCTGAAAATGTCCTCGGTATGCCAGATCACCCCATGAATAAAAGCAGGCCATATAGCAGGCCCTTTGCAAAACATTGCTCTCATCACAGTCTTCCTGAAGTAGACTCAAGTCTCTTACTATCTTTCCCATCTCGTTGTACTTTCATATCCAAGGAGTCACTTATATCATGTGCCCATTTTCATGTTTGTCAGCCCTTGCCACTTTTTTCCCTGGTACCTTGCCTTCTGCTGCTATTTTTTTTTTCCCAGTCCACTGGGGCGCTTGATATGGCCAAAATATTTCAGCTTCAGAAACAAGGTGCTGTTTATTAGCTAATCTTCCTTGTTGTTGAGATCTCTTAGAATGTCAGCATTTCTTGTCTTCTTTGTCCTTGATTTTCTGAAAATCATTCTATAGTATTTCAGTTCAAAAGCCCCTATTTTCTTCCTTAAGGACTGTGAGATAGACCACGACTCCCATTTGTATGTTGCTACAGGGAAGATGCATGCTCTCAAAATTTTAACTTTGATTTCCTTGCTGGTACTTACCCATAGACTTTTGATGCTGTTTAATCTTTGTATTGCTATGGCCATTCTCCTTTTAGCTTCTGTTGAACAGTTTCCATTGCTGTTTTATGGAGCTTAGATATTCAAAGTTTGTGACATTTTCAGTTTCTTCACCATTAATTGTTATTTTGGAGTGACAGCCAGTTTTGTCTGTGAATATTATTTTTGTTTTCTTTAAATTCAAGAATAGGTTTTTGAACTCCATGGTTTTTTTTTTTTGGACAGGCACGATAAAATTTTCTATTTCCTTTACATTTTTTGAAAGGATGACTGTGTTATCTGCGTAGCCAGGCCTACATAATAATAATATTTAAAAAAAATATTTTTAGTGTATCCAGTGTTCATTAGAATGTTTAGTTGACAGCAATTATAAGTTTTAAACACAAAGAGATTGATTACTATTGAAGATGGTTTCTGTTTGCTAGGTTCGTGTTAACTGCCTACTGTGTATTGGAAAACTAATGGATCAGATGGACAAATGGTTTGTCTTGGATGAGATCTTACCATTCCTGCGAGAGATTCCTTCAAGGGAACCTGCTGTGCTAATGAGTATTTTGGGTAAGTAGTTTTGAACATAATTTGGGGCACTGGAAATAGGAACCTTTTGCAAGATCATTGGTCTAGCCTAAAGTGATGACCCTTCAGTTGATTAACTGGGGAAGCCACATGAACCACACATGATCTGATTAGAGAGATTTTCTTACACAGACAGGAAATATTTGTGAAATGTGTGAAAGGAAGACGAGCACAAAATGTAAGTTGATATAACATGCAGTTACAGGAATATCTGAGGTTGCAAAAGTATAAATGAGAAGATATGAGAAAATTATTGTGTGAAGATATCAGAAAATTGTGTACCATCTCCACAGTGAAGGTAGTCTTCAATGTACCCAGTGCTGTGCACAAATATTACTTGATGATGCTGCAGTCTCTTCTTCTACAGTACTTTTACTGACGATTTTTTAGTCTACAGGGATGAAAAATAATATAAATATCTAAAGAGCTGCAGACCACAGTAGATAAGGTAGGTGAGAAGTGTGAGCAAAAAGGTTCGGTCATCAACTTATGTAAGGGAGCAGTATTGTGGTATTCTTTAAAATAATAGAATTGTTAGAAATGTGTTGCAAAACATCACGATAAATGGCAGTGACTCAAAGAGAGAGTTCACTAAAACATCTAGGAATCAATTTTGACAGAAGCTTGTCTTTCAGATATCACATGGAAGAGGCAGTGTTAATGATAAGGAAATGACTCAATGCTCTGAAGGTGATTGCACCAGCTGGCTTGAAACAGAAGGGTGCCAGGAATAGATAGCTGGTGAAACAAGAGTCAGCGGTGCAAGAGCTGTTCAATGAAAATTCATACCCAGTTGACATCATTGTATACAGTGATTTGTCTGTAGTGAGAGGTAAAAAAAAGTGGGTGAGGTTTTATTGCAATGATAAATGGACTTCTTCTTCTTCTTCTTCTTCACTTCCTCTTTTACCGCTGTGGGTGTCGAGGGAGATATAAGGTTCTGTTTCTAGCTCTTCTGGCCGCCTCGACCATAGGCACATCGTGCTGTTGTAGAGTTTCTCTGATGTTATCCTTCCATCTTGTTCTTGGTCTACCTTGTGCTCTACGTCCTTCTTCTCTTTTCATGTATGCTTTGTATGGTATGGTGTCACAAGGCATTCTCTCTAAGTATGTAATCCAGAATTGGTTCTGTGCTGACTTTTTCTCTTATGATCTCATTCCTGATCTTATCTCTTATGGTCACTCCTACAGCCCTTCTCAGACATCTCATTTCCATACTTGAAAACAGAGAGCCTTGTGTACAACATCACTATATCCAGTATGAGAATGGAGGGGGGAGGCAGTAACGATGGCTTGGGAACAGCACAGCCTAAAATGTAATTGTAACTGACTCACAGAGCATGCTTCAGAAAATTGAAACTGGCAAGAGAGTAACTTGCATCACTTGGTAATACTCAGATCAGGAGCATGTCATGGATTTTCTGCCTAGATATTAAATTGTGCAAGGTAACAAACAGGCTGATGGATTAGCTGCTGCCACACCCCTGGGCGGTGTGCCACTTTATGATAAAGCTGACGGGGTTAAGGCTCTTTAGGATCATATGATTGGTACTCTAGGACAGATAAAGAATCTATACACTGAAGGACTCATGCAAAGAGAATTGGAAACGGTAGCGGGGATAGTAGAGGTTCTGGAAGATATTCAACATTAAGAGGGAAACACAGGTGGACTTTTAATAAAGTTGTAACTGGTACTATTAGCATGTTGACTCCTCATTGGCTACTGAAGAAGGAGACAGAGCACATGTGGAAATGTCCTCAGTGCAGTGATGTTAGTTCTTGTTTCCTTCATTCATTCTTCAACAGCGTGAATCTTATACTGTCATTTAAAAAACCTTGAGAATGTTGTTTTTTTTTTTTTTTTTCAAACCATTTACAGCAAAAACCTAACCATAATACTCAAAGATGACATTGTTAAACTCATTCACTAGCCTCCATGCCATAGAATTACACCTTTGCAGGTACATGAAAATGAATAGTGCAATAATAGATGACATATGCACACTGTTAGGATAACATTAATAAAAAAAGTTAAGGTAAAGTAGGGAGATGTGAACCAACGTCATTGCACACGGTTATAAACCATAATTGCTCTGCCACCAGTAGGGACAGCTAAGAATTGTCCGCCTGTGTCGCCGTTCACACCTAACTCTGTAGCTACAGCGATGTTCCTTCATTTACCCCAGAGTGTCAGCTCTGGTACCCATTTCCTAGAGGCTGGGTGAACCCCGGGAGCCGTCCCAGTTTCAAACACCGGCCATAGGCTGCAGCCAGTCGCAGCTGGATTTGAAAGCGATTCTCTTATCGACTGTTCTAATGCGGTCCCAAACATTAATAAAGTGTAATATCAGTCATTGCATACAGTCATTGATAAATTTAAGCATATTTTTTCCTCACTCTCCAGGCATCCATAAAGTGGCATTATCAGAAGCCAAGCTGGGAATTACCAAAGATGTGATGGCCAACAAAGTGTTACCTTTTCTCATCCCACTGAGTATTGATAATAACTTGAATTTATCACAGGTATGTGGAGGCATGTCATTGTATTGACATTTTCTGTTTGTGTTGTGTGAAATATCATGGAATCTGGAGAGATGTGGTTTTATAGATGAATAATGAGAACACCCTCAACAGATAAAAATAGCAGTGAAGATGTTTTGAAAGAAATTAACTCATGAAAAGATTCACATCACTTGGAGACAGTCTGTATTCTTTGGTCGTGTCATGAGAAGGAGAAAATGAGCATATCATCACTGTTGGGAATTCGGAGGCGAATAGAGTCAGAGGGAGTCCAAGAGGGAAGATGCTGGACACTTTGACTGATAACATGTCATGGAAGATCATCCGTGTAAGAACTAATTTAAAGTCACCGAAACAGTAAGTTGTGGAAAGCATGACTATTAACACCACACGGCATCGTCTATAAGAATGGGGAAAAAGGTGTATTATCTTCAGCAGTGTTCTGCAACCTATTTACACCCGCAGACCAGCAAAATATTAGAGACTTTTGTGTGTGCGTCAGCAGAGGCAAAAACAAGTGTGTCCCATTGTGGGTTCTAGGGACCTCCTTTGTTTAAAAAAAAAAGGAACTACTGCAAAATTCAAGTTCTGGAATAGAGCTGAAGTTTAAAAGTGGACAAACACCCGTAACATTTTACCAGAGTTTATAACCGGTGAGCACTGAGAAGAAGAAGAAGAAAACAAATGCAGATTTTTTAAAGAAATATGTCCTGCAGTGTACCCACTGCTATCTTTGTGAATATTATATAGGAAGGTCCCAATGTCTTCCACGATATGACTTTTGTACCTCTGTCTGTAAGTCACAAGAATGGTCTATTTCTAAATAGTTGGTGGTTCAATGAGATGTAAACAAAATATTGGGTCCTTGCTGTCACTACATGTCGTTCAAGGGTGCTACGTGGTCCTGAGTGCTAGAGGTTCAATGTTCAATCCCCGGTAAGTGCTGGGATTTTTTTCATGTGGACTTAGACTTCTAGTAATTCCCCTTGGTCTCTGGCTAGTGAGATTGGATGCTCGTGTGCATTGTTGCGCACATAAAAAAAATCCCTTTGCAGTTGGAAATTGAAAAGAGTAGCCTAACGGTGCTGCCCAGGCAAAATTTGGAGTTTAAAATCTACCCAAAGTATTTCAGGATCCTCGCCAGTGCTACAGAACCTGTGCAGTGTGCTGAGCTTCATTGGACTCAGACTTGAGTTAGAAAAACTGAGCACTTATGGGTAACACCTGTGTGCCATGATGTTGTTCCGTTGTTCAAAACCTCAAAACTACATGTCATTGGGGCTAGATGAAAACCAGTATGTCACAAAAGTTTTTGACATGATGGCTTGGCTGTCTGCTCCACTGCTAGTGTTGTATGATCGGATAACTAGGTACAACATCACAGCAGATGGGTCAGCCCAAAGTTGCTCCATTCTTCTGCCAATAACGCTCACACAGAATGCCTATCACTGTTCCTTGGGAAATAGCTGACACAGACTCTTTAGTTCTGGCAAAGCCAATAGCATACACACCCACTCATTAAATGCATAAGGCAGCCAACAGAAGTTCCAACACAAACAGTCTGGTACTAGAAATGAAGCTTATTATCTGTGGAGGCAGCAGTTACAAGACCATTGTGTTATATCTTAATACTGTAAAACTCCATTAACACAAATTCTAAGAGACTGGAATATAATGATATGTGTTAAAACAATTGGTCCTAAGCCGGAACTAATACGTATACATCCCAGCTGGGACCAAAATTGTGTTTATGTTAACCAGCTGTTCTTCTTAAGTGAACTTGTGTTAACTTATATTTCTTTGGTGTTCATATCTTTAGTTTCTTGCATATATGGGAGTTATAAAGGAAATGCTGGGCAAAGTTGAAACTGAGCACAGAACCAAGCTAGAGCAGCTGGAGCAGATACAGCATGAACACAAGTAAGAGTCAAAGATATGCTTCTAACCTACAGAAGATGTATGTGGTCTTTAGTATAACTTCTTCGTTGAGAAATATTTTTCAGCATATACAGAAATTTCTTCATTTGTATGTTTGTTTTGTTGGCTTTTTTTTCAAATACCGTGGAAACGGTTAAATATCGTTTAAATAAATTATACTGTTACCACTGTCTACTTTACCACTTTTTTAGGGCGGTGTAGACAGAGGGTAGTGAGCCTGATGAATTAGGGCCGCATGGCTGATGTTATCACCATGGACTGTACAGGTTAGGATGTTTAACTTTGTCCCTGACAGAAAAACTTCATCACCTTACCATTATCAAATTATTTCTTTTCTACATTATCTTATCTATTTTGTTCTTCTACTGTGATTTTATCTGGCTCACTTGTTTTCTCTTTCTTTTATACTTGACATCTGTGGCTACTGTTATTTAATCTTTTCTCTTTCTGTTGTCATATTTCAGAACTCTGGAAATTAGCAAGATAACTGGAGAAAATGGGACACTGGGAAAACAAGTGGAAGGGAAGTATTTAGTAAGTAAGATAAGCATTGCCACTATGTGTTACTATGCTTGTAATGAAATCTCAGACAGTTGTTATGTGCGGTCACTTTCCCACTTCACTTATGTAAATGAAACCTCTGTGCCACATCCACAGAGAGTCAAAGGACATAATGCTCCCTCTGTACACACTGATGGACATGGAAAATATTGCTGCTGAGAGGGTGACTAGTATATGCAATGTAAAATTTAAGTGCAGAAAACTGTATTTTACTACATGGCATAACAAAGTTAAATTCACAACCATCATCCAGTATATACTTTACTAGCACATAGAATTATTGGTCATTGTGATATTAAAACATAGACTTGTGCATTTTCACTTTTGAAAATGCAAATTCACATATTTGGAATGGCTACCTTCTTCTTCTGAATTCAACATCAGCCGTGATACATGTTTAGCCAGTGTTTTAAAAGTGATAATGCTTCTGAGGTCACCACCAGTTAAGGTTGTAGTGCAGCCTCAGGGTAGTCTGTATTTGTCTTGCACTTTTCAGATGGATTGGACAAATGATTTCTTCATCTTTTCGCAGGTTTTTGCTACACCATTTATCCATCTATATCATGGTCTTCCTCTCGCCTTCCCCCCAGATGTTCTGTTGTAAAATGTCTCATATGCAGTGTGGCCTGGCTGCATTCTCACCAGAAGGCTGAACCTTCATTCTTTATCTGTCAAAATAATCTTGACCTTATTCTGTCATTTTTTGTAATGCTGGTACTCGTAACCCTGTCTCCTCTTGTGTTGTTAGTGACCTCTTATCTTAGTGTGGGAAAATAAAACACAGTACTTTGTTTCATTGGAAAACAGAAATCTTATTCTTAATCTCAAATGGATCTGTATGGACAGAAACTTCAGTACATTAGAGTGACTAACTAGAAAGAGAGGATCAGTCACAGAGATGAATGTAGACTGGTAATGTCTACAGCAGTGACCCTCGAGAGCTCGGAATACTCAAGAAGAAGAAAAAGTAAATGAGGTTCACTGCAGTACAACTTGAAATGCAGTGAATAAAAAGGATTATAGAAAGCGGAGAAGGTTCACAAGAACATGAAGATTTGGTTCAGCCCTAAAATTATTAATCCATGATGATATGAGGTGCTCGTGTGTATTGTCCAATTACATATTACAGATGGATAAGTTTCTTGTCAGTTTTGGTCTGGGCGGAATGTCTCCACATGCTGGGTCAGGAGACACAGCTAAAACAGTGTCTTCTCCAGCTTCTGCTGTAGCTTCACCCAACAATGATGCTTCAGAATTTGTGACTCCCAAGAAGGTGAGTTAACATTTGTTTTTACTTCTGTCTTCATGGGTGCAATGTATACAGAGAATCCTGGCGATCATCACAAGAGCTTTGAAGTTCAAGCTTTATGTGACGCTTTCAGCAGGCAGCTAACCATTTGGCAGAGTGAGACCCGGGCCATATGGGATAAAACACACTGCAGTGAAGTTGGTCCTCTGTTTTAATTTTAACCTTCTGTTTACACTTACATTAGTTACCGTAATTGTTAATGATATCAAAGGGTCTCTGTGGCAAAGCGTTTGCCTTGTGCTCTGGTTTGGTTTTGGACTTTTCTGTTTGTTTAGTTAGTGTAGGTGTTTTGGATAACCCTGGGAGTCACTGCAGGAGTTCATGAGTTTGTACTTTGTGTGATGCGCTTGATGAGTGACCAGCTGAGGGATTAGTGCATGTGAGTTCAAATCTGTTGTAGTCAAGATGATCTTCTACTTCTAGATGCTTCTTTTAATTTAAAAGAAACAACAAGTGATGCTGGGAAAATGTATGCTAAGATAATAGAAATGAGGCTGCAACCAGTGATAGAACCACAGTTGACAGAAGAACAGATGGGTGTCAGAAAAAATAGAAGCTGCACAGATGCCAACAATATGGAAAGTAATGGCTAAAAATGGAGCAAGTAAACACATCATTGAAGTTTGCAAAAAATTTTATAGAAATTGTAGAAGCGTAGTTAGAATAAATCAGGGAACATCTAAACCATTCAAAGTAACATCTGGAGTAAGACAGGGATGTGTCTTATCATAATTCCTGTTTATCACCTACATTGACAGTATAAGCAAGGATGCCAGGCCCAGGAACAAAAATAATAGAAGCATCAACAAATTGCTCTTTGTCGATGACCTGGCCTTCCTTGCAGATGCAGCCATGAATTTGCAGCATCATCTCACATCCAGGAATGAAGAATGAAAATCAAATAATATAAGAATCAACATCGAAAAGACTAGTAATGTCACTAGGAAGAAAGAAGCAGGGTTTAAACATTCCTACCTTATGCTACCAATGAAAGACGTGGTCACTGACAACAAAACATAACAGAAAATTAGGAATTATGGAAATGAGGTGTTTGAGAAAGGCTGTAGGAGTGACCAGAAGAGATAAAATCAAGAATGAGATCATATGAGATAAAGTCGGCACAGAACCAATTCTAAATTACATACAAAGACAGCAAATTGAATGCCTTGTGATGTTATACCATACAAGGCATATACCAAATGAGGAGAAGGCCGTAGAGCAAGAGGTAGACCAAGAACAAGTTGGGAGGATAACATTAGAGAAACTCTACAGCACCATAATGTGTCACTGGTCAAAGCAGCCAGAAGAGACCAAAGCAGAAACTTATCTCCCGTGATACCTGAAGCGGTAAAAGAGAATGTGAAAAAGAAGAAGAAAAGAAGATCTTTTATAGGCTGATTGAACCTGAGAGCCCAGGCCAATTTATTAATTTTTTTAAAGTCTTTTGAAATACAGATTTATACCTAAGAAAACTTGCCAGTAACATGGTTTTTTTTTTTTTCAAGAGAAAATGGTGCAGATACTCACCACAAGTGTCTAAAAGGGTGCCAGTATTCGCCACAAAGTGTCTATTAAAGTAGTGCTTAAAAGGATGCCTTTAAAAAGGTGCGAGTACTGCATGCCTGTGCAAGTTACAAGGACAAAAAAAAAAGCTCTGGCCAGCAGACAAATGTGCTAACTGCTGTACTGTCACAGCTGCCAGTCTGGTAGAGAAAATTAGAATGATGTTTCCATTTGCAATCAGAAACAAAATGCACTGAGAAGTGGGCTAAAAGCTCTCATTTTTAACTGACATAATTAATTATATTTAAAGAATGGCAGCTTAAAAAAAATTATACATAAATTACAAATACCATTTTTATTTACTTGTATGTTTTTCATACTCAGACAAGCCTTTCACTTGAGGAGAAACAGAGGCTGGCAAAACAAAAGGAACAGGAGAGAATGCTGAAATCTCAGAAAAGCCTTGTACCTCAGAATCAAGTCTCCAGTCCTGTCCAAAGCAAAACTAGTCCTAGCTCATCTGGTCCTCGAGATCTGACATCCACCTTGATGGAATCCAATATGAGGAACTTAAGCATGTCTTCTAAAGCCAGCCCAATGACCGGTGTTGGTTCTGTGCAGTCTGGTATGACACTCAGTGGAGGAATGAATACCATGCCTTCTGCAGGTGTTACCTGGCAAGGTGGTAACACCATGGCAGCTTCTTCAACAGTGAACTGGGCTGCAGCAGCATCACCACAGTCATCCCAGTACATGAGCTCACAGTCCTTAGGATCATCACCTTCACAGCCACTAGGGGGAAAACCTGTAGACCTTTCTTCATTTGACTCACTGCTTCCTGCTTCTTCCAGTAAGAAAACCCCACTTAACCAGTTGGGGCAGTCTCCAGGACCAAGGCCAGGTATGCAGTCTAATCTGCAACAACCGATAGCTTCAAACACTCATTCAAATATGATGGGAGTTGGAGGTATTCAGGGCGGTCAAAATGTGGCTTGGGGTGGAGGGTCAGGATTTTCTTCTCCCTCCATCTCTAGTTTTCCTCAGCAATCTGCAGTAGGGGGATATATGAATCCTCAGACTTCTGGCAGCTGGGGAGGCCAGCCAGTTGGTGGAATTGGACCTGGTCATGCAGGGATGGTCACTGGTGGGTTTGGGTCATCACCTGGAATAATGCAGCCAATGAAACCATCAGCGCAGAATTCAGGGGTAAAAAATAACTCTTTAACCAGTGATGACTTGAAGGATTTACTCGGATGACTTCTGCATATGATGTGGTGCTTCAAAATGCATAGAGTTCATGCGCTTCTCTGCAGTTAAATTATTGCTTACAAATTTAAATAAGTCTTAAATAATGTTAATGTTTAATCTTTGTATTGTTGTAAACAAAACAAACTGCACCCAATTTTTACCATGTCCTTTAAATGAAGCAAAGAATAGTAAGACTAATGTACAGTGTATAATGAAAGAGGCAGGGCAGACACATTAGCTTGATGCTATGTCCTCAATCTGTTAGCCCTGTCACTTTGGGAACTCACAAAAAATAAAATTGTTATGACCCTATAGGAATGGTTTTTTTTTTTTTATCCTTACAAAAATGTACACAGGCCATTAATTCATAAACTTATTAACAAATTGTCCACATGTTTTTTCTGAAATATTTTAAGGGAGTAATCAGTCAACAGGTTAAGACTGAAGCATTCGTTGGAAAACATTTCCCAGGGACTCAAACAAAATATGTGCCAGATGATTCATATCTTGACCTCCATCACTGAAGCTTGTTGGACAATTTCTCAAATGGCTTTAAAAAACTGTTTGGTTCACAGGGAACTCACCTAGTGCTATTTTTAGCAAAGGTATTCATTTGTGGGTCTACTAAATTATGCGCCGGCATGAATAAAACCAGTCATATGAAACTACACTCCTTGGAAACAGGTGACTACAGACAGGCCTGGTTAAGTGGGGAATTTGACCCAACTGAAAGTTTCAGATTTGCTACTTTTGGAGCGAAAGGTTTAAAAACCGCTGTAAAATCCGATCAGTTATGGTGTATACTGATAGGAAAGCTTGCTATGAAATTGTTGATGGCCTATGCTCCATTGTAGAAATGAAAGACAGAAGAAGAAATCAGCAGAGGAAACAACAATATTGACTGGATATACGTAAGTCTCAAAGAGAAGGAAATAGGCTTGTTGTTTGGTGAAGGATCATAATGAATATACTCATATATGGATGTTTCCATAAGTAATCCAGTCCTCTCTTATAATTCATCCACAGAGAGTTATAGGACCGTGCACTGACTTTGTATAACCTGTGAAGATTGAATTATGGGTTAGCAAGCATACTTAGACCTGCTTGAACTTTTTATGTGGTTGTAGCTTGACGTGAACTGGTTGTGGCCCATGCTCCACTGTGAAATGGGGAAACAAAATAAATCCACATAAAATAACTGTCAAACGCTGATGGATATTTTGGTTAGTTGGTTGGTAAAAGATCATTTTGAATGTATTTAGATACCTCTGTAAGAAACCCCGTCGTACGGAGGCATATATATAGATATAAATACACACACACACACATGTGTGTGTTTGTGTGTGTGGAGGAAAGTAATCACTAAATACAAATGGAGCAAAGAAATAACTGCTTCCCTTTCTTTTGACATTTTTTTATATAGGTGCATTGGTGACTGTCAAAAACCCATTAAAGTAAAAATAAAAAACTGACTTTCTCAGGGTGACGATTCAATCGGATGCGTTGGGCCAAAAGGTGCACATGTTGCAGCCTAGCTGTAAACTACAACACAAAATGCTAGCTGCACTTTTAAGAGTGAATGCACAAGAAGAACAAACTTTATAATGAACTTGTCAGAGAGTTACAAATTGGGCATGCGAGGCTGTCTTCCATTCAGCCCTTTTAAATGCTCATTTTTCAGTTGTAATTTATCAGTAAAGCATTGACTGTGGTCAGGTTATGTTGTGCCATTTTTGTTGGGGAAAATGTTTTTTCGTTTTAATAAAGCATGTGTTTCCAGAAATAAAAAATCCACATGTATTTAAATAAATATATTTAAGTTTAGATATTTTTAAAGCTTAGAGGATTAACCTCACTGTGCTGGATTTAATCCAGTGGGGCTCAGTCTCTTTCTGCAGAGCAGCTGGTCACCTTTTGAGTATATTGCAAAAGCACACACTCTGTAGCTCTAGGATTTCTTAATCGGAGTGACTGGAGTCAAGCTGATGTCTTGAAGTATCTGAACACAAAAGAAGCTATGACTAGAAAGGTTAACAAGGGAGAAAGAAAAGACACTCACAAATACAACCAGACATTTTGACTAGAGTCTTTGTCAGCGAACAAAATATACTAATCACAAAATCTGTCAACAGAAATATATTTGTTTAAAAAATCTCATTTATAGTTTTAGCATTTTCAGCCCTGCAGTGGTTAATGTTCTGTGTGCCTTTATCAAATGTTTACTTTTTTTAATAAACCCCCCCCCCCCCCCCCCCTCCTTTTTTTTTAAATTATATGTTATGTTTCACAGTAGCTTTTTATGTACATGCTTTCTCCTATTATGTACTTCCAGTTCTGTGTTGACCTTGTTGGCTGGTCATTGTTTTGTCCATTGATAAAGACTCCGGTTGAATTATTATGTTGTATTTAATGTGCATTTTTTTCTTTTTCTCCATTGAACATTCTAGTCATTGTTGATTCTGTGTTTAGTTAGCTGTAAGATGGTATTTATTTTTTTCAGTGTGACGCCATCAAAACAGTTGCATGTTTTTAAATGATCAGATGAAGCTAAGATTTTATGGTTTAATATTTTTTCTGGAGACAATCTTAGAGGGATAAATGCAGTGTATGTATTTGATCATTGGATGGATGTTTCTATGGTGATTAATGTGGGATATTTTTTTATCAGAATATATTATATGAACACACATTTTTTGTTTGTTTATTTTTTTTTTTTTTTTTTTTTTTTTTTAAGTTGTTTTTTTTTCAAATGAAATATTATTTATGCCAATGTGTTTATTGAAATTACCAGTTAACTGGGTAAATATTATATTTATTTTTTACATATATAAAAAGAATAAGGAGTGTTGTTTATTAACTGAACTCACGCTGTTCAGACAGTGGAATGAGAGTTGCACCGTGGAAGAGATTGGAACCTAACCTCATATATATATTCCCCAGAACGGCAATGGGTTTTAACAGTAAAAAGAATGAATCTGTGAGTAATTGTTTGTAGATGTGAAAAAGAATGAAGGTGTCTTGAAAGCATTTAACTCACAAAGAGTATTGATACCCTGCCTCCACAGTTTTTGGGCATGGAATCAACAACTGCTTTGAATGTTAATAAATAGCCCTATTTCTTTATCCTGTTCAGTTCGAATGTGAAAGATCTGCATTCATTTCTGTGTAGGCACATCTGATTGCGTTGGGTTGTTTCAGTGTTAACTATCCCTCTGCTGTAAGGTTGTTTACTGCTGTAAAAATGTTTCTTACTGTTATTGAAGAATAGATAGTTCTTCTGAGTTTTACACTAGCAGATTGTGTCTGTACTTGTGCATGGATGTACATATGTTACAGTATAATTTGTTTGTGTGTCCATTTGCTTATCATTATGTCTGTATGCTTATCAGTCTGCTTGAACTCATTGAAGAGCATCTGTGACTAGAAGGAGGAAAGGAGGAAAAATTTGACATTTCATTCAGAGCCTTTATTGACAAGAAGGAATAATACCTGGACATATTTCTTGTTGTGCCTCTCATTGATGAAGATTCAACCAAAGCGTCCATTTGTTTCTGTGTAATTTGTTTGATCCTTTCCCCTCATTTAGCTTCTGAGACATAGTTAGTCATCAATGAATTCATTTATACTTACTCGACTGCAGTCACCCCTGTTTTAATCACTATCTATCGTTCTGCCCCTCCCCCCCCCCCACCCATTCATCCCTTTATCTTATCAGTCCATTTGTCTTTCTATCTATATATCTGTCTGTCTATCTATCTATCTATCTATCTATCTATCTATCTATCTATCTATCTATCTATCTATCTATCTATCTATCTATCTGTCTGTCTGTCTGTCTGTCTGTCTGTCTGTCTGTCTGTCTGTCTGTCTGTCTGTCTGTCTGTCTGTCTATCTGTCTATCTATATATCTATCTATCTATCTGTCTGCTTATCTATCTATATGCATGTCTGCCTATCTGTCTGTTAATCTATCTGTATGTATGTCTGCATGTCTGTCTATCTATCCATTCTGACTATTTGTCTATCTATGTCTGTCTGTCAATCTGTCTGTCTATCTACATTTGATGAGTGTGCATGCATACATAATTTTTTTTTTAAATTATGTATGAGCATACTGTGTGGAGATATTGATACATATGTGTGTGTTTGTGTGAATTTTATGAAACCAAGCATTCCAGTCTGAAAAAATATTCTATTTCCTTTGTTTAAGTATTTTGTCTAGTTCCCTGTCTTGAAAAAGATTCTTAACTTTGTTGCCTCTTGATGCCCATCTACTTCTTTATGGGATGTGTTCTGAGGGTTCAAATCCATGTTGTGTTGACATGGTTCTTACACACAAGCAATCACATGAAAAACATTCACCTATGATTGTGTGTTATATTGGTAAAGTTTTCATGCTTCATGGTTGTTTTCTGTACATTCCATGTACACGGCCAGTATTACTGTGTGACAAATTGATTTTCATTGCATGTAGATGACATGACATAGAGAAGATGATAGTCATTATTATAATCAGTCACAGACACATTAATGAATGAACAAGGATTGATAAACGGGGTGGGGGAGGGGGGTGTCTTTTCCCTCCTTGTGGGATTGTAATCTGAAAGACTAACACTCAGTAGTGACTCAAAAGACCCACTTTTTCAGATGTTATTTCTCCAGCAGTGACAAATCCCAGACATCTCATTCAACTGCATATCATCAGTTATTTTGGGACACACACAGTTAACTTGCTGTCCTATAGGGTCTGATGATTATGGTAATGTCTGAGTATTTGACACTTTTTTTTCCTTTGCTGCATACTTAGGGATTGTATAGTTATGCTCTGGTAGGAAGGTATTTCCAAAAGAGATATGGGACTGGAAGTTTAGGATTTCAGCATATGGACATTGATATACTTTTGGATATTCTACCTTGCATTAAAGGGGAGTTAAGGTGAATCACAGATTAATCTGGATGCTAATATGAACATTACTTGACTAAGGAAAAGGATTATCGCTTCACTGAAG